ATTGTGCCGTCTTCGCTCTCGATCTGTAGCCTTCAACCCTTACTGACTGTAACATCAGTCATCGACTTTTCAAACTCTGACTACAAGTTGGTCAATAGCTTCGCACAACGAAATCACGACTTCTCTTCACGGTTATACTTCTGTACTTACGGTTAGTCTATTAAATATAGATATAACTAGAATTCGATACTAATTAATAGCTGTCAACGACACTGTCTTAATTTCAACTCTAAACCAATGACGGTACAAACATCGACATCGATTGATGAAACACTTATCCTACTGTCACTATAGCATCATCACTCTTGCAGCAAGATTAACGCTTCTCATCTGAGGAACTCAGTCATTTGTCAGAAGTATCTATTTCAACGCGACTTGATAGAACTTTAAAACGTTATGTTTTTCTCTGTTATTTCTATGGTTAATCGCTTTTATTCAGCCGACGTCCTAGTAACATAATGATTTACTGTTTCCCGACCAGTTTCTGCTGCCTCCTTTCAATTTGTTTTACAGCTCGGCAACACCGGATTATTCATACTAATCGTTGGACAATCTTCGACGCGCGACTACCAATATGCATGATAGTGATTCAGACGGCCGTTGAATCTGGTGGGGGAGTATTGTAGGGCCAGTGAAGTGTCGCTGAACCCTAGCCAAATCATCCGGCAATTGGGTCACTGAATATCGGACAAATCATCGATCCCTGCCAGGGTCGAGGACAACCAACGCGCATCAGTTAATCGTATGCCATGGACTGGCTCACACAGATCTTCTTATAGATGTCAATCCACCAACGACGGAAGAAGTCATAATGGCCATCAGACAAACAAAGAGTGGGAAAGCAGCAGAACCCGACAATATACCAGCTGAGGCACTGAAGCCAGACATCGAAGTAACTACAAACATGCTTCGCCTTTTATTCAAAAAGATTTCAGAGGAGAAACAAGTGCCGACGGACTGGAAAGAAGGACACCTCTTCAAGATTTCAAAGAAAAGACATCTGAGCAATTGTAAAAACTACACTATTATCTGTACAAGAGAAAGTCTTTAACATAGTGTTGCTGAACCGGATCAAAGACGCAGTAGACACCCAACTTCGAGATCAGCAAGCTGAATTCCGTGAGGATCGATCGTGCACAGACCAAATGGCGACACTACGGATCATCGTCGAACAATCAGTTGAATGAAACTCGTCACTATACATCAACTTCATTGACTATGAGAAGGCGTTTGACAGTGTAGATAGGAGAATGTTATGGAAACATCTTCGACACTATGGAGTTTCTGAGAAGATTGTCAACGTTATCCGGAACTCATACGACGGACTACAGTGCAAGGTCGTGCATGGAGGACAGCTGACAGACGCATTCCAAGTAAGGAACGGAGTCAGACAAGGCTGTCTACTCTCGCTCTTCCTCTTTCTTCTGGTGGTCGACTGGATTATGAAGACTTCGATATCTGAGGAAAAACATGGCATACAATGGACAGACCAGAACCAATTAAACCATTTAAATTTCGCAGATGACCTAGCCCTCCTATCTCATACACAAGAACAAATGCAGATAAAGACAACCAGTGTAGTAGCAGTCTCTGCATCAGTAGGCCTCAACATACACAAGGGGAAAACCAAGGTCCTCAGATTCAAAACGGAGAACAGCAATCCAATCACTCTTGATGGCGAAACTCTGGAAGATGTAGAATCCTTCACATACATGGGAAGGATTATCGATGAACAAGGAGGCTCAGATGCAGACGTGAAGGCAAGGATTAGAAAAGCAAGGGCCGCAATCCTACAGTTGAAGAACATATGGTTTCACCTCAACCGAATTTATTTCAGTTAAACTGTTCGCTAAAAGTATCTTTTTCTATAGTAATTCAATATTGGTACTTTTGAGTACATTGGTTCTTTTAGTATTTGTTTGCATCCTTGAACCTAACAATCCACAGTTTTTCAATTTTTCTGGTCAACAGTTTTTTCTCTGTGCGTTTTTCGTGTCTAGTTTCTTTTTGAAAACCCCTGATGACCAGACAGTGCAAAAAAACAGTTGCCAGCACCAAGCCTGTTGATACCCTGCGGAAATCGGCATGCAGTGCGATGATTGTGAAGGATGGTGCTACGAAATTTGCACGAATCTAACGCTTGCGGATTTCAAATGGTTTAGTAAAAATAGCTGTGTTTGGTTATGCCAGCAGTGATGTTCAGATCAAATAGCCTACTATCCGAGACCACTGCAATGGCGAATGCCTTCTCTTTAAGCTCTTCTTCAGACAGGTATTCACCTCATGAGTCTCGACAACTGGACTACATTTCGCAGTTTGCACATTTCTGGAGCAAACAATGTAGTTGCAGACGCCTTATCTCGCATAACTTCCTTGAACAGTTTCCAAGGAATCGACGTTCCTAAACTCGCCGGGCTTCAAAAAGAAGACATTGATCTTCAGCACGAGTTATCGTCTACGACCCTCAAGCTACGCATCAAACAGATGGGAACAGGTAACAAAAGCTTACTGTGTGACACATCTACAGGTAGGGATCGCCCAATCGTGCCGAAACATTAACGAAGCAACATATGCAATACGTTGCACAAACCTTCTCATCCAGGTGTTCGTGCAACCATCATGCTTATAGCAGAACGGTTTCGCTGGCCTGGTATGAATAAAGACGTGAGGGAGCGGGCACGCTCCTGTGTAAGCTGCCAAAAATCTAAGGTTATCAGACACAATAAATGTCCCTTAGGCTCATTTGAAATTCCCGCTGCTAGTTTCGACCATGTTCATCTGGATTTGGTAGGACCTTTACCAGATTCAAATGGATACTCTTACCTCTTAAACAGAGAAGACCGTTTCACTCGATGGCCAGAAGCAGTACCTATCAAGGACACTACTGCTGAAACGGTGGCCCGCCCCTTCGTCGAACGATAGATATCAAACCTCGGATGCCTTTCAACCATCACTACAGACTGCGGACGTCAGTTTGAATCTGAACTTTTCCGTCGTCTGACCACACTTTTAGGAACCACTCGCTTCCGAACGACTGCCTACCATCCACAAGCAAACGGGTTGGTAGAACGCTTTCACCTATAACTAAAAGCTTCACTACCAGCTGCAAGCATTTCTCAGTGGACCGACGCTCTTCCACTCGTCTTACTAGGTATCCGCAATGCAGTGAAAGCTGACATTGGATACATTGCGGCTCAACTCGTTTATGGAATGACACTTCGACTTCCAGGAGAATTCGTGAATCCTTCGTCCTCTTCAATGAACATGCATCTAACCTCCTACACGAACAGGTTTACAAACGCAATGCGTTCAGTTAAACCTGATTCCACTCGACCTCGATCAACTGATGCTTTTGTTCAACCTGGCCTACTATACAGTACACACGTCTTCGTATGTCGAGACTCGCATCAACGACGGAACCAACGATAGCATCAGCATCGATCGCCTCAAAGCAGCGTATTTAGAGGAGAATCCTATCCACGTCGATTTTCCTTCGGTACAATCGAACAACACGACTCTGGCACTTATAATACCTAATCCGACAACCAACACACACGATGATACTTCGACAGTATTTGAAAATAGACTTAAGACGACGCGTTCTGGAAGAAGAGTAAGATTTCCAGAACATTTAAATGACTATTGCACGTAAAACATTTCGTGAAAATTGCTTTTACGCTTTTTCTTTTTTTCGCCCACTTTGTGCCTTTTAGCGCGTACGAGTTTATTTCGACATGCACTTACATCTTTTTTTTCTTTTCCAGGATGGCTGGAAAAGACGATACAAAGAACGATGAGGTTTACGAGGAACCAAAAATTTTCATTGTACATTATTTATTTAGTATATTGTATTTCATGGTCCCTTATAGTAAGGAAAGACGACCAGACTGTGCTCAACCTAGCAACCTATCAGAAGAATGTTTACCAACGACAAAACTCGTTGGGTTTAAACTTCTGGCAGGCCACGTCTTAGGGTCATCACTACCCCACTAGGGGAGGAGTGATCTGTAGCGGTAAATAAATCCCCAAAATAAATAGCTCTGTAAGTTTTCGACACTGGATGCTGACCAGATTAGTTTTAATGGGCTTACCTAGCTGAAGGCGCTCGGTCATGCATCTGCACCAGATCACGAGTGGGAACGCCGTGCTCAACATCTACTACAATCGCTAGCCAGACTAGATCAGACAATGCTCGATATATTGGTAGGATATCAAGTATATCTTCGAACTTCCTCGCTTCTGTCTTTTGATTTCACTTGGTGGGTACGCTTCATATTAGGTGTTACTGGTAAAAGCGTTGTCAAACTCCGAATACCTGTGGTATTTTCAAAATAAAGTAGATACAAGCGAAAGTCAAACCACCGCCGTATGAGTCAGTCCATGGCTTACGATTAACTAACACGCATTGGTAGTCCTTAAACTTGGAATGGATCGACGATCTGTTAGATATTCAGCGGTCCAACTGCCGGATGATTTGGCTAGGACTCAGCGACATTTCAGTGGCCCTACAATTTCACTTGAAGCTTCATCTGTCCACCCTCCCCCCAAAAAGTTGGGTCATTTTAGAGAACACCATTTTCAGGGCTAATGCAAATCATCTGGCCTCCTGTCCATTCCAAAAATAAAAAATATAAAGATGTCACAATAGTTTGTAGTTTGACAATCCCTTTACCAGTAACACATTAATATTCGAAGTCTGCTAACTCAGTCAAGTCAGAAGGCAGAATCGAAGAAGTTCGAATATATATTTGAAAGGCTATCAGTATTTCGAGGAACGTTTGGTTCAAGCTGGCTAACAGTTGAAAGGGATGCTTAACACACCGAACCCAACTGTGGTCTGGTGCGAATGCGGGACCGAGCACCTTCAGCTAGACGTGTCCAGTAAGATGAATAAAGTCAGCGTCAAATGTCGAGGACTCACGGAAATACCAATTTGGGGATTTATTTACCACTACAGAGATTTATCAGAACTTTGTTTAAAAGATCCAGTTTACCATAAGGTGACCTTGACTTGGTTTCCAGGTTTTCGAAAGGTCACGATGGATGATTTTATCCTAAATATTTTGGATACGAGTGGTCGTCAAGAAAAACAATGTAAGGTAATTTGTTGCCCAACACCCAGTCATTTTGAGTAGAACACGTCAAGTCGTAAGAAATCTAACTCAATCACTTCATCGTATGCTCCTCTACATACCGCAGCTAAGGATGAACTTGTTATTCAGAAGAAAAAGAAAGAAACAAGTGTTGGCCGTAAGTCTTTGCCGGAGAAAAATTCCTTGCAGTTTGGTATACACAACAAAATGACTGAGACTCCTATGCTACATACAATGATGAGGTAACAATATGTTTGTATTATCTGACTTTTCTCGAGATTACTATTTAAGTTCTATAAAACTAGGATAACTTTGATAACCGTTCGTATGTGCTTAAATCGATGTTACGTCGAGACAGGAGTCGTTGATGGCGCTTCTTCGTCCGTTAACCTGTTATTCTCAACAATAAGTATTGAATGAGACTATAATTTATGGACTACCTTTGAGCAGCCCTAAAATTACCTTGGAATGTTGATCTACTTGCTGGTGTTAAATGAGGACTATAGATTGGTGTGACTTAATTCTTTCATCACGAGTTGATGAAATGGTATTTAGCCAAATGAATGAATGGATGTCAAGACCTGCTATCTTGTATCTGTATGCCTCGTCGATAGGTCGTAGTTTCGCATATTATATCGTCTCATTAAGTATGATATGGGTCCAGGTGTTTTCAGTCACTGCATAGAAATAGTGGGAAGTTCGATTATTGACGTTTTAGGTGCATCCAAGAGCTATAATCTTGAACAAAACATATTCTAGCTGATCAACTACAGTATTCCGTTTAATCTCATGCTACAAAGTACGAAGCATATCATCTACGTATTTGAAGAGTTTGTGGAATGGCCACACTATGCAGTTTATTTTGTCAGCCTCATTTATTTATTTGAACACAAATATTGGTACAAGGCGACACCAGATATCTATGGGAATGGGAAGAGAAAAAAATGCAAGGTGCATACAAGAGAAAAAAGAATAATCACGACCACGGATTAGTGTATGGTAGTGTAATAATAATAATAATAGTGGAGGGAACGGAAACGTACAGCCAGAAGAATTCTTTCAGTTGAGGAAGTTACAGCCAATTACTCGTAGAGCTTTTTGCACTTTAAATTGCGAGGTCGGTGCTTTATTAGTAATGTGCTGGTGACTGTTGCCGTGATAGGCATAGGTTAGCGCAATTCTGGAATTATTCTGCCAGTCTCAACGTCCTGACCAAGTGAATAAGGTTGGAGCTCAAATCTATCAGTGTCACTACTTACTGTTATATTACGTACCTGCAAATAAGAATATTGACGTAAGGTCATTGGCATAGATTAGAATTATTAGGGACTATAAGATTACGCTTTGCGACACCGATGTTACAGATTTCTTACAAAAGTAAGAACTAAATTTCTGCAACATCGTCATAATGATTTCTTAAAACAGGTCAGTGATGCCGGTTTGTATGCAGAGTCGGTTGTATGACTCACTGTACGTTATCCATAATAGATTGCAGTTGAAAGACTTAGTTGTTGTGATATATGAGACATTAAATCCTCGTACGACAAAGCAACTATCAATCTCGCTCCAATTATAAATGTAACTCAAAAAGAAGTCACCTGCCAGGATGAGCTCAGTACATCAGGTAAATCACTTGTCCAACTCATGCAGGACTCAAAATCGGGCCTCAATATAATTGCCCGAAAACTCTAAATTCTTAAGTTCTCCCTACTCTCTGGTCAGTTATTTTCAAAGTCTCATTTCTTATGATCTTCGAGTAAATAATCTGAACGGACATGTATCTTCTAATCCTAAACCGCGTTTGATTTCCTTTATAGCATCTGTCTGTCCTCATTCTCATCTAGCATTAGTTTTTTTAGGTTCAGTCCCGCTATCAACAAACTTACTAAACCTATGTATCTTTGTGATGTGTACTCAGGGCAGTTTCTTCAAGATTGTGCCAGTTATCAAAAATAACGAGTCAAAGGTTATGACCATGCCGTTTCAATGGATCAAACATCTGACTTCTATAGTTAGTTTACGGACTGACTGGACGTTACCGAAAGTGATTGTCGACTGCTTTTAGGAACCGTAATTCTCACCTAACATGTGACATGATGTTGTAGTGATCCAGAAAATTTCTTGCGAAAGACAAGCAAGGATCAGAAAACACTGAGAAGCGTTTCATCCAATCAGCGTTCACTTGAAGTTTTAGCAAAAAATATCAAGGAAGTGAAACGTCACATGTAGAGGTTCTGATTGGCTGGTTGCTATACTGCTGCCATGTTTAGTAGCATTCCAGAATCTTCGAGCAACCTAAGGACATTTAAAAATATTATAAAAACCCTATATTTTCTGTGTTAAAACGAACCTTGGAGTAAAGTACTTATCGCATACTTCGCGTCTTCTCTCTCGTTGTTCAGGTCGCTGTATAGTTCTAGCTTGGGGGTTACAGAATAGCTTAGGGAACGAATATAGTGTTAAATTTGCAAAACTTATCATATGGTCCTTTCAAGCAGAATTTCTAATAGGGTATATTATGTCAAGTTTTTCTTGTACATATGTACGAGTTTCTAAAAGATTTTTAGTGGTCCAGAACAATGCTTGGTGATTTATTTCCACTCTCTAGAGTTACATCTATGATCAAACAGTGGAGTTGTGATATTTTGTTACTACTTGGTATAGTTGAACCAGTAGTGTGGAAGTGTAACATGTGGAACCATCATAGGAAAGGTTTTTATTTATATCTTTATTGCACAATTAGTAAACGCTCGTATTGTGTTTTATATTTCCCTATTCCCAAACTTTTGTTTAGTGTATGAATCGTCGTAAATCTTGTTCCAAATAGACTAATTTCTCTGGTATTCCAGTTTTATTTCAGTTATGGCTAAGTTTTTTACATATTATAATTCCTTAATTGTTTTGCTGTGTAGTCAGACATTGTGGGTATGGGTTTCGAGTCATGATTGAATAGAGTACAACAGAGAAGTAATGTGCTGTCTATTTTCGTCTTCTGATGGGACACCAGCTTAGACTGGGCTCGAGGATCAGTAAGCGTTAAGGTCTTGGTCGGTGTATTAGTAGGTAAATATGAACACCATCAGTTCTACTGGCAATATAGACAAATCGACCGCTAGTCCGACTACAGAGAGGTGTCATATAATTGCTCCTACAATTACAGCCTCACCACGTGTGACCCAGTAAACACAACCCTCTTTTTTTCCTATTTTGTTATTACTATGACTTTAAACGCATTTTAAGTACTTTGCTCAACCTCTTACTTCGACTGTGGTTGCCTTTATTTAGCCAACCTGTGAAACCCAAAATTGAACCGGTTTTTTCTTCGAAGCATTGGAAAGATATATGTGAGTCGTTGGATATCTTCCCACATTTGATTACTTGCCTGACTAACCGTCTCAAAATGGACCATCTAACCGCTATTCAGGAAGCCGCACTTCCTCCTTTAGTTGATGGAAGAGATGTTTTATTACGTGCCCAAACAGGATCTGGCAAAACTCTAGCATATGCAGTCCCACTGTTCGATCGGTTAATTAACCTTGACCCTCCCGTCGAACGTAAAGATGGACCTTTAGGGATAATAATTCTTCCTTCAAGAGAATTAGCAACACAAACATTTGATGTTTTCAAAATTCTCTCTCAAGCTTGTGTACGTATTGTTCCAGGATTGTTGGTTGGAGGGATGAAACGAAAATCACAGAAAGCAAGGTATATTACTCTGAATAATATACAGACTTCATTTTACTACTTTTAGCTTTCAGTGGATTATTAAAAGTATTTTGTACCTACGTGAACTGAAATAACAACTAAATAACTATCAGTTTCTCTTACGAATGTGGGATATACTCGATAACTATTTTGATAACTACGATACCATATACGATAGCCCTACTCTCTCGATCCACTTCTTTACTCCAAAATAAAAATCTTGTTAAAAAGATTTATTAGACGAGACAAAAGAAGATTGACTTCATATTTAAGTCAATTCAGATATATATAAGCGATTATTGATTGCAGAATTTTATTAACTGAGTCATTATCACCGAGTATAAATCATAATGAAATGAACATTACAAGAAAAATGAATTAAGAATCAAATGACAAAATACAACTGAAAGTATATGAATAGAAGTCACGAGGATTCTTCGTAGTTGACTGAACGAAAATCACCTTAAATTGATATGGGATGTTAAAACTGACTTTCTTTTTCGCATGTTGTATTTCAGGATATAGTATCCCGAAAATTTTGTATTCTATGACCATATTGATCACTGATAACTACCTTGTTGGTGTATTATAATTAAAACTGTTCTGTTTAAGAGGCTGCAGTACCACTCTTCCATATCCTTACCTTCAGATTTTCGTATACAGTCCTTAATGTATATTGATGTAAATAATACTACCCCATCCTCTTCATGGCAAATCACTTCCAGTTTAGTTTAGTCATCAATATTTGACCGCGAGGTCTACGTCATGGTTTTTTAGTGACAATTCTTGCTATTTAGCCATACTATCTTACGAAAATCTTTTAGTTATGTGTTCATGGGTAGTAAACGGTATTAGTTGTCAAACTTTGTTTATCTGTTGTGTTGTAACTATTATCAGCAATTCAGTATTCTGTTGTGATACTATATTCTAAGTGCTTTGTTAAGATACTGTATACTGAACAACTGTTTTGGTTCTTAGTGGTATCTCAAGTGATATCACTTCGTGACAGAAACCACTTGCAACTCAACTCAAAATGGTCTTTCAATTAAGATCATTATAATGTCAAACTATTACTCATGTATTCAAATTCATGAACCAGGTATACAGAATTCTATTTATTTATTTGAACACACAAATATTGGTACAAAGAGGCACTGAATACATATGTACCACACAAGTCACTTGATTTGTGTGTGGGCTGTGATATTTTCCGGGTGCCCAAACCAAAGCAGATGGTTTTCTTAGGGGACCACACCCGGAGCATTCGACCTAAAGGTCTGATCCATTAGGCAGTGAAGCAACGTAAGGAGATGCAGTTCCATGGTAACCGGTGACCAACTGTTGGTTCATACGCCGTTTGTTCCTTCAGGATTCTGGAGCCCATGTACACCATTGGTTTGGAATCAGAGTTTTCCAACTCGTAAGTGAAATCTCCATGTCCACCAACCCGATTAAAGCGCCGGACATTCGCTCTTCGTCCTTTCGATTTCGTAAACAGAATTCTAACTAGTTAAGTAAAACTATAATGTTTTCAACGAGCGTTAATCTTGACATTTACGATTACTTGACGATAAAAAGACTATAAGGTAATCAAATATGTACAATTCCTACAGGCACTGACTACAACATAAATCTAAGATGGAATAAAACTAATCAGAATATGTGGGGTAAATCCAGTCAAATCAATCATTTTCAAAATTGTTTTATGTTAGTGTCTGTCATTGTAAGGTATGCCAAGGAAATACATCAACCTTGTTCAGACTCTTTTCGAAAACTACCAATCAAGTCGGAATCATGGCAAATTGTTATCGGAATTCTTAACTGGTGTTCATCAGCGTTACCCTCTTCCTCCATTTTTATTTAGCTTTGTCATAGAGACAAAGCTTTCATTGTCTGACTTGATCTTATACGGGGAGATTTATTAACTCGCTCACCAGGTCTAGGTTTTTGTATTTCGCTTCGAGCCATACACTGAGTTTTAGAGCTAGTGATTCTAACCAGTTGCCCAAACTTTAGAAGGTGGAGCAAAATTCGAACCTGTGACTTAATGGCTAGAAGTCGAACTCTATAACCACTGAGCCACCACTCAATAGATGATATAATCGTGTTTGATGAAGACATTGAGTCAACACCTGAATTAATATTAGGGAATGAAGTAGATTAGTGTATCGACCACTTATTTTGGAAGTTTTATTAGCCCTGGTGGGTTGGTTGGTGTCTAACAAAATTTAGGCACATATTCAGAAGGCTTGCGTCACTTGTGTAGTAGGCGAAATGTCTGTCTACCAATCAATGGACGATTATACCGTTCAGAAATTCACTCTGTCTTACTCTATGGTTGTGACGTATAGTCTTTAGAAATAGATATTTTGAGATCGCTAGTATTTTGTCATACATTTCTTCGAAGAATACCCTTGTATTTTGGGACAGTTGAGTTAGCAATACTAAGGTTGAACGTAGGATGAGGATGTCGAACCGATTGATGAGGTAGTGAATTTTTCTCGATTGAAGTGGTTGGGACATGTTTTCACGTATACCCAACCACTTATACCTCGACGAGCAATGTTAACAAGCATGAAAATAAATATAGGAAGAAAAATAAGGATGGCGAAACCAAATCGTGGTACCAGTCCATAATATCATTGATTGGTGGTCTGCGTTATATTGGTTGGTCCAGACTATCTCGCTAGAGTTTGCATGATTATCGTAACCAGTGGTTGGAGACGTTTGTTAACCTGGGCGGATTCGATTGGGATGACACAGACTCATTCACTCTCTATCTTCCCTTTGATTTGAAGTTTTAATCATTTCTTACATGCTTTATGGAGCTAATTCATTTATTCTCGAATTGTATTGTCCATACCTACTTTTTAACACTACTACTGATACGTTTACCGATTCTGCTACTGTGTGATTTATTTTAATTTCATCTCGGTGTGCTGATATTGTGTGGCAACGTGAGCTGGTGCACAAAGCTTTTTTTGACTAAAGATTGCTATTAAGGTTAATGTTGACATTATTTCTATCTTTTATGTAAATCTCATTCTTTTTACTAATTTTTCCCTTGAAACAGTCTAAGAAAGGGTATCAATATTCTAATTGGTACACCAAAGCGCATTCTTGATCATATGGGACATACGTCCACACTCGATCTTCGGAGAATACAATGGCTAGTAATAGATGAAGCTGATCGTTTGTTAGAAATGGGATTCGAACGAGATGTTAGACAGATTGTTGAAGGATTAATGCAGCAGTTCAATTGTTTTTCGACGGAAAATAAGTCCATATCAAAAATTCAAACCGTCCTTTTATCTGCAACATTATCTCCGGGTACGTTTTCCTACCTTCTTTCTATTTTGTCTAAAGGAAAAATAGTTGAGTAACTGAAAGAAAGAGGTTATAAGAAGAGATGCATATGATGATATATTATTCGTCAGTTGTAAAAAAGTGAAAACAATTAGATAAATCTAATTTTAAAGCACTCTTCATAGTTCTCATTCTGTTGACCTGGGAGAAAAGTAAGTAACAATTCGGCTCTCTTATGTTTCGATCCCAAGTCTTTACATTTTCTTCTGTTGGCTCAACAAAACTATCATCCACTTTCCTTCATGTAAACTTTACATCTGTGACGAAGTGAGCGTTGTATGGATTTTTTACAGGGCGTTTAAACTACTAGAAAGTTTCGTAAAACATCTATCCACTCTATCTTAGCTACTTTTACAAGATTACCTAATTTGTAGGCAAAAACTTCCACTAAATTTGTGTATATCACCTCATATCTCGGTATCATATGTATGATGTTTCCAAAGAATATAAATAAATAACCACATAATACTCGTAGCTAGTAGATACTGGGTTTCTCTCTCTGGGATCACTTGTTGTATACTGTCACTATGACGTAATAATTCATTTAAAGAATACCTTGTTCATCAGAAATATCCAAATATTCTGATAATAGCTTCAGTGTATGCTTTTAATCAATATATTGTTCATATTATTACCAACCAAAAGTTCCACTAAAGTTCAGGATATAAATTTATTTATTGTAGTTATTTTTCTTCACAAATATCTGTTGACTTCTATCTCTTTTTTTCCATCTAACCAAAGGAGTGGAAGCTCTTGCTGGTATGACTTTGAAGAATCCTGTACGTTGCGTGGTTGCAGAAAGTGAAACAAAAGCTCCAAATACCCAACTTTCTATAACGAAAGCCTCTGAAGTAGAGTTAAATACACAAGTAAATAACGTTGCTGAATTTGCTCTTCCTACAGGGTTAAAACATTTTGCACTAATTGTCCCTTGGAAACTGAGGCTAGTCTCATTGGCAGCTTTCCTATTACTAAAATGCAAAGTAAGTGGTTTTCCATGCTTCTTTATTCGGTGAATATTACTCGTTAGTTTTTTTCTGTATTAGGTAACTCATTAACCACAGAGCAGTGGCTTAGTGGTCGAGCCGTTCGGACTTCGCCCACTATGTCAGGTTTGAACCCTCGTCCTCCTCCTCCTCCTCCTACTTCGATTTGAGCAACTAGGTAGTATTATTACCCCTCAGACTTCGGGTTTAACGTATATACAAGCACCTGGTAAATGAATTAATTCACTTGATTCAATAAATCATATCTAAGTTTATGTTAATAAATTCTACTTGGCTATCGAATCGAGAATATGCAAAAGAAGCTGATATCTCTAGTTGGAGGTCAAGTGATTCAACTACACGAATCCACTCTTAACGCTATCATGTCCATTTCAAAATGAATAGCTCACATCCTGGTGTGAGACTTCTTTCCTCAATATACGGTACAGAAATAAGTTTCTGTTGTCTACTAAACCGGAATGCAGTGACAGCATCGTGTTTTTCCTGAAAGGTTGTTTCTATAAATTCTATTTTTTAACACGAAAACATGAAGATGGAACAAGTCGGTACTAAAAATATTTTCTTATTGGGTCTTAATTGTTAATAACAATATTTCCTTATGTAAAGGTTTCAAACAACAGCATCTTTGGTACCCGTCAAGCAATGTATTCAAATACCTCGGTTTTACATACTTCAACTGTCAATAAACTTTTCATCTGTTAATATGAATGGAGTTATCTCGTTAAGCTTACCACTAGAAATTAAGTTACTCAGCTTATTTAGTTAATGAATGGAGATCACCCGTAAAACTGAAGTTGTCCTTGCCTTTGAAGTAATCAAACTAGACGGATCTTCGTAGCGAATTTTCGAATGGTCATAGGGAATAGCTAAATGTTAATATCAATTTAGTAATACCCAATACTTCGTAATCAATGCGATTCTATAATTATTTGATTTAACCATACTTATATAGTTATATAAGTTGATGTGCCTACATGTGATCTTCAAATCTGTGCCGTATTCTTTAGTAAAATTTATTTCTTTTTCCAGTATCATGAAAATGGAGGGAAGCTAATCGTTTTTATGGCAACTCAGGATTGTGTGGATTTTCATTATCACCTATTCAAATCAGTATTATGCGATGAATCTGAGGAGCTTATTTCTAATATACCTGTCATGAATCTGTCGATTTACCGACTTCATGGAAGCATGGAACATAAAGTAAGAATTATGTAAACTTTTAAACGCCTTCACAGGTTATGTAGTCTTTAGTGACAATTTTTTAAATCATTTTCACTGTATTGGCTATTAGGTATTCATATTCAAGAGCTTTTGTATAGGTTAAGGAAATAAAAATGACAGTTAATCTTACACGATTTCGTAACCATTCAGTATACGAAGACTTACATCATAAGCAAGTGAACAACAAAGAATGATTGCATATAATGAAACCAATATGAGTTCATAAAAAGGGGGATGTAACACAAATGAGAAAAATAAAATAAAAGTTATAAAATCTAACTCACTATTTTGAGTTTTGCAGTGGTTGCAACTCACTTCATTTAAGTTTTTAAGAAGGTATACCTTAAGAAAAGTTGTCATTACAAATATTGTCTTTAAAAACCCAGTGCTATGAAGGGATGTATTGATCAAATCTCCTGTTGGTATTTGTCGTTCACTGACTACAAAGAGTGGTATTTACCATAGTTCTGTTCTCAATGTTTTTTGCTTACAATTTATATGCCTACTCTCTTAATTTACCGTTGTTATTTTAAGGAACGTGAATCAGCTTTCAGTAGCTTTTCATCTAGTCAAGCTGGTGTTCTAATCACTACAGATGTTGCAAGTCGAGGTTTGGATTTAGCATCAGTTGCTTGGGTTGTACAATACCATGTAACGGGAGGTCCTATCGATTATGTACATCGTGTTGGACGCACTGCACGAGCTGGGGGTCATGGTAAAGCATTGCTTTTCCTAGAACCTGAAGAAACTGAATTTATGAACCTCTTAAAATCAAAAGTTGGAATTGAAATGAAAGAAATAAGTTTGCCTGATCTACTTCAGACCGTTCTTTTTCATTTACAGAATACTAAGCATCCTGGGAAGCTAAGGGTATGTTTTCATATCTACTTTGGATTTATTTATGTAATAAAGTAAACTGCTTTTATGACCATGATTTAGTGGGCCAATCAAACACCGGCCAAATAGTAAGCAAATCCTACCAGCCAATGTTTATCTTCCTTTTCTAAGGAACGAGGAGCCCGCCATTGGTTAAACATGTTTCTTATATTTCTAAGGAATATATTTATATTTGGTTTAATCAATAAAGCGAGTCTGCTAGTTAACATTCTGTCTAACTTAAATATATAAACGCCACTGAAATCAGCGATGTTATTGAAATCACTAAGATTAGTGCAACCATTGCCATCATTAGATGCCATAAAAATGCCACTGAATTTCTCCTTACAGAAAAAGCAACTTATTTGGGCATAAGTTATTTCGATTTTAATAAATATATGAAGTAATATTTTACATCTAATAATGTTGTTGGAAAATAGGCTTTTATAACCAACTGAAGTAGTTTGTATGAAACATTAAGCGATTTAACTTTGTGAGCATAAAACTCTCGATTAAATATTTCCAAACCCGATCTTCTTACACAGAAGTTCAATCAAAATATTTTCGTATAAAAAAATTGATTTTGTGTCATATCTTTCCTGCAGAGGTCCCTCGTTCCGAGTATAAGTGATAAGCGTTTCCGACATAACAATCAACGACGACCAGATACAAAAAGTAGCATTAAAAGAGTCAAGACAGTAAGCATTCAAACGACAAGTTACAACATTCCCATTTTAATATTTTCATGTTTAGCTAAATTAATTATATATTATTTGTTTTCTTTAAGTAAATTTTGTTGAACAATAACAGTAAACTACCTCCTTATCCTACCTTTATTTTATTTAGCCAGATGATTGTACAACAGTTGAAGAGGGGACTAGTCAGCTGTTTCATTTGTTTCTTCATGCTGTAGACAATGATGACACTTTGACATCACTTTCAGAATTGGCCTATATATCATTTCTACGTTCTTATGCAAGTTTTTCGGGTGACTTACGACCTATATTCACTTTCAAACGTCTTCACCTAGGGCATGTTGCTAGAGCATTCTGTCTACAAAAGAAACCATCCGATGTCGCTTCTCGTGTAAGAGGTCGTTTTGTTAAGGCTGATAGGCAGAAGAATTCTACAGGAAAGAAACGGGGGTTTGATAGCTCGAATGAAGATGGCATAGTACCACAAAAACCAAAGTAAGTTGAAGTAAACATAAACTGCTGTAAATCTTCACATAATAATGCATTGATCGAACACTTATTCTACGGTTGGTACCTTTGTAGCATGCCAGTTAAGTGCCTTTCGAGATTCAATCCCACAACGCCTTGACGGTTACGTAAGACCGTGCTCAACCCAAGTGAAGTGGCTGATCTCTTTAAAAAAATACTTTTGTATATTGCTGAATTCATTACTTCAAATTAGCATTATACATCAACATTTCATGGGATTATAGAGATTCAGTCGATATTTCTGTCTGAATTGTGCTATTGTCCAGAGTAGAAAAGTTTGCACTCCTCATTTAGAGATGGTTTTGGTTATATGTATTTGACCAATTAATATTCTTTTGTTGGTATATATGAATCAATAATAGATTACCATTGGAAGTGTATTTATGTTTTAATAAGGGAAATAGCGTATGGAAATGTGTTATGCCGGACAGCGTGAGAGTGTGTTGAGATATAATATCTAACTAAATCAAGACATAATCAAAATCTAAATTTTTTGTATAGAAAACCTTTAATTATAAGCTTCATAATACATGTAGGTATCATTACCAAAGTTTGATTTGATAATTTCGAGTAAATTGAGCATTGCGTAGATTGTTATAAGTATATAATGTATTTGTAATATCCCAATGAGTAGAAAATTAGATTTTCTGACGTTTCGTGACTTAGTGTAAGTCACTTCTTCAGAAGATAAATAACCAAATTAAAATTAATCCAAGTTTAAATAATACTATAATACATATTCGCATTACGTTACGGACTTGGGCCAGTATATTCTACGAGAATTTAGTGTTTTTTTTTGTACAATATTTCATCTACATGAATAATCAAAAAATCTCTTCATATTTTTACTTCACTTTGAAAAATATTAAAAATAACAGGTATTCATCTGCTTTATCATTCGATAAACCCCAGAAGAAGCAAACTGTGAACCGCACAAAACCGTCTGATTTGGCCAAACGTAACATGCTTGCAGAATATGGTTTATAATCTAATCTATATACCATTTGTATATACTTTTTACATACTTCTCATGTGTATAAAAGCAATCTGTGAATATGCATTTTTATGTACAGATATATTCTACATATAAACTGATAATTATTATTACTACTTTTTGCTTAGAAGATCTGTCATCCTTTGCTAACGTATTCGAGTATTAGATAAAATTAAGTGTTACTAAAACATTCTTAAATAGGTTTACGCTTACTTTAACAATAAATACTGACTTCCCGCGACCTACACATAACTATTATGTTTTCGAGGTAAAATTACAGTTTAACATAATTGATCGAAATAAAAACCACATGACTGAGAAGACTGCAGTCAAATAATATGAGGAATATTAAATAAAGCAGCAAACTCAGTTTGTTAAAGGGAGATATTATTCATTAAGTGGTTGACTAAGAATACTGAAAAACTATTATCATCCCGAATATACATTTATATTCCAGGTCGTTTATTGAAAATAGCCAATTTTCTGAAAAGGATTTACCTTTTAAACAACTAATAATAACCTTCATGTGATTCCTTGATCTCTATAAAAGTTATATGAAGGTAAATTTGCTTGACCAAATAATTGGTTACTTGTAATAAGCATCTTATTGTTCCGCACAATGATTTATATTCATATGAAGAATAGGTTGGTTTATACATGTCTAACCATCAGACATTTTGAAAGATGCCATAATTTCCTATTTATTGATAACTGTTTATCTTATTTCCTCACTAAGATTCAACTTATTAAATAATATACAGGCGAACTTCGTAATCCAATAATGTTGCTTAAAAGATGTGGATGTATATATTTGAAAAATGTTAGTTTAATGTTGGAGATTGGTCTGTTTTGTCATTTAACGCTACATATTTGGTTATTTTCTATCTATCGCATTATTTGTTTATCCTCTATCGTTTAATGGAGAAAACTAGTGTTTAACAAGTCTGATTGACTGTGAAACGATTATCATACTGACGCCGAAAAATAACAACTTCATCGTAAACAAAAGGATGATTTATTTTTATTTCGTTTAAATCCACTCTAGAAATAAGTGTGAATAAGTTAACAGTTTACTTGAAGTTTAAACAAAATTCTATCAAACAAGAATCTTTCACCGGCCATAAGAAAAAAACCGATGTTAATAATCTTGGTTAAGTTTTCCAAGCCAAAGTATTTTGAAGAAATATTATGATCGCAATAAAATCAAAATGTTCATGAATATGTTCGTAAATGATTAAAATTTCGATATAAATCTTTCTGAGTTCCCTTTACTTTTCAGTCTTTGCATGAATTGTGCATCGGATGGTTTCTGTAAAAGAAAAACTGTCTTAGAATTTGTACATTTATTACTCATCACTATAGGGTTATAAAAATTGTTAAGTTTTGATTGAGATCATGAATGTATCAATGTTAGACCATCATTGAAGACCTGGAAGCGCCGAACGGTCGTTTCGTCCCAGTGTGGGGTTCTTCAGCAGTCAGTCAGACGTCATAATTATTATACTTAGCTATTGCTGCATATGGTTTACTTCTCAATAACAACTAGATTCACGGAAAATTCCATCTCAATGGTTTAATTGTACCATACTAGCTATGGCTCCTAAAAAACCATATGATAGACTTTGTCAGGTATCCTCTATGCTGAGGTATCGCGACTTGGGATATAATTTCAGAAATTCGACGACAGTTGTTAGTGCTATTTCAACCATGTAGCATTTTATTAGTAAGTAGTGTATAATTTAATGCATCAACTGGTATTGCGACTATTTATTAAAACTGCTCTTTAATGATATTGTCTATACATGGGTGTAGATAATTTTTCATCCATTCTTTTACTTACTACTCATGATAAGTTCTGACATTTGATCTATATATTAGTAAATATGATTCAGTTACCAGGCTAATCATTCTGTACTGCAAATAGTATTAAATGTTTCAGCAGTCAGTGTGAGTATTTCTCTGAGTTTCATGCTTGTTGACATATATCAATAAAGTTCATCTTCAACTTCAACGGGAATGGCTGATATCGTGGTAGTTTGTAACCGTCTAATAGTTCCGTTCGAACTTTGGGTCAAAATTTTAAATTCATCTGATTTTTGTGGTATGTTTTAATATAAACCATTGACAATCCTACTTATTATAAAGTAGATCAAGGAAAAACTATCGGTACATAATCCGTTTACTAAATTAGGGTAGACTAACTAAATCAGCGATTACTTATAGTGGAGTGATGAGCGAATATCTCGGCTTTCAACAGTTGAGTCGAAGACCGAGAATCAGCACACTTAATTCAGTTGATGGAGCTGTATTTTATCATTATCTTACCAAAAATTTAGACTGAAGACCGATTACACGAATCTGTATTTAACGTAATCACCATCTACAGATTCATATTGATATCAATTACGATTTTTGCATTAATTTTCGTTTTCTCATTAAAAATTAGCTAATCATATATATATATGATACCCATGATGCTACAACTGGAAAATAACTACCTAAATTAAAACTGACTTACATAAAATGGTCGTTGTTCACTTTCTTGATCTGATTGCTTTACCGGTACAAGTGGTCGACGTAATAGTAGCCGACGTAATGCCATATTTTCTTCTCTCAATCGTTGAATCCGTGCTTTTAGTTCAGTAATTATTCGAATTGGTTGTTGACTGACCAAATCATTTGTACCATTTTTATTATGATTTAGTGAATATAATAATTGATGAATAGATGAAAGATCTTTATGCTTTCTAAATATATCATGTAGAATGAATGTGAAGACAGATTATGTTAAATTAAAATTTACATGTTTTCGCTGCATAGACATTTTTCTCATCTTAATGTGTATTTCAGATCTCTACTCATACATGGTAGGGACGTATTTTTAATATTCCCCCATCAGGTTAACTAAACTTAATCACTAACATATAGTCTTACAGTAAAAGTGATTTCTGTAGCATAGTTGTCTATTAAGACTGTGTAGGTGTCTTTGAAGCATTATTCGTTCAAGTCGGAAACTCTGATTAGTCAAGCAATTTCTGGGTTATATGTAGTCGTAGGTGGTCATTACAAGTCACTTAAAAATTCAAACCTTTGTTGAGTGATATAGTTGAAAAGTGTGTAACACATATCAAGTCAACACGTACACCGTCACCTTATGCTAGCTATTATGAAATTAGGTTCTAAAAAGCATTATACTGGCAACACTGAGACATTCTATCAAACTATGAAACCTACGACTTTTGGGATGGCTCATATTAATAGGTGTGAATATCGTTTTTTTGGCTCACGATACCGTAATCTGGTTTTGTTGGGATTTTATGGCCCAGAATTTCTGACAATCGGATAGTTATATTTATTCTCTATCCTTAGTCTCATTCCATACATTTGATTATTCCATCTCATCTGTTTATTTTTAAATTAAAATTCCTCTTCATTCCATCTTAATGGATATTATTATTTATAATTCTTTGCTGCTGAGCTTGTTGATTTATTATCTTGCTGTGTTGAAGTATTGTATAACATCGTAAGCTGAAACGAATTCATCCCAAGAACTACATTATCTATAAATTACTGAAATTGATGTTTTCTGTCAATATAGTTAAGTATACAAGTACTGCAACAAATATATATATATTGATGATGAAGAAGGTAAGTTACCTATCATTTGCTTCTTCATGATCTGGTTTATTTCTTTCAATCGTTAATTTTTTGATTTCTTGTTGTAATTGTTGTATTTCATTTTTCAAGCATTCAATCTCATCATCTTTTAGCTTCAATTGTTCAATTAATTTTTTCCTTATTGCTTCATCTTCTAACTCTTCAATTCGGTTACGATAGTGCTAATTTAAGTAAACGAGATAATATTTCCTCAGTTTGTAATAATGATGGCTTTATTCAATACTATTAATTTCATTTCAGTGAGAAGTCCAATATTTCAATAGATATTTGTTTGGAATTCATTTAGATTGCAATTGTTCAGAAACGCTTGTGTGTTTTCGACATCCATATACAATAACGGGGGTTGTATACTAGTTCATATGATATAATTATTTTTAAAAATATGATGTTCAGCGAAGAGATCTCTTTCCATAGAATTTATTATCAAGATGTACATTTGTACACACATATACATACAATCTTTTATTGTTATTGTTCATATTACGTAATCTAGTATTACAATTTTTCCATCATATCATCTTTTTTCCTTGTTCATATTTCCTCACAGAACTAATACTTTAACAAAATACAGCTTGACAACTAATTCTTTGAAAAGAGATCCCTTTGCTAAACTTCGTGTTTTTAATGTTTAAATGGGGATTATGATGATTATTTCCATCCATAATATGTAAATACGTAAGCTCTACTATATTCGTCGCTCGTTTTATCAAAAAAGAAACAAGGAGTTAAATATGGAAATAGCTACAGTGTTTCCACCCGACGTTTCCTGTATTGAACACCACAATAATTTGTAAGCCATTTTATAGTGGTAGATCATTATATATGGTAAGCATTCATAACTATTCAGTTCAATCAAACCTATAAGCGGTAGATTGAATTCAATGTTTTATCAGTTTGGAAATAAGTGTTGCAAACTTCTGAGTAGGCTTGCCCTAATGTAGAACAATGCAATAAGTTATCTTAATTATAGTCTCATCATACATTACAATTTTTTGGATTTAGCTTGTTATTTAATGAAGTTTTATATATGTATGTATATTGAAGTTATTTATAGAATAACTACATAAAACCTTAGACAAATAACCTATATTATCCTTATTCATATTTCAGCCTAACAAGTTTTTCTTAACTAAAACAATTTAAATAAAGTTTAAAAATAGAAACCCAAAGTTGACGACTAAATTTATATCTTTAAGACAATGTTACGTCAAATAATTTATATCATCAACTAAATTGTTGAAATTACTTAGCAGTCAACATTTACAATTGATTGTTTCTATAACTTTATGTACATAAAGCCTATAATTCAAGCCTGTTTCTAATACAATGGACTGATGAGATGTTAGCCAAATGATAAGAGTACGCTATCGGTTGAGATTTGGCCTTATTTTTCAGGTAATGATACACATGCTACTGGTTGAAAATGTGGCTTAAATTTCTGATATATATATATATATATATATATATATATATATATATATATATATATATATATATATATATATATATATACTGGGACAAAACGGCTGTCCAGTGCTTCCAGGATTTCCGTGGTGGTCTAGCTTCAATTGACTGATGATCGCAACTATTAAAATAAAGAGTTCCTGAAACAATTATGGAAGGAGTAAGTAATTCAAACTAAAATCAAAAGTAATCGCACCTTTAACGTCATTTTATGTTCATCTTGTTCGGTTTCAGCTTGTTCTTGAATACGTTTGACCGCACTGTGAGCACTATCTAATTCACTTCTAATTTGTGTTACCAATACATCTTTACGTCGCTGTAATTGTGCTAAAATATCCATTGAATTCTTTCTCAAATTATTCGCTAACTCATCCACATGTTTCATCAGTGATTCCATTACACCTTCTATGGAAATATCATTTATAGTCCATTTCTTTGTTATATTTGGTATTTCAATTTCTTTGTTTGGCCTTTCAAAAAATAAGTTGCAGAAAAAAAGAAATTTAGAGAACAAGTAAAATTTTTTTACTCTATTATGTTGGCTAAACTAATTCTAAAAATTTTATTAAAGGAAAACACTCAGGAGGGAGCATTGGAATTATATTTCATGATAGTTGGCATCTATCAACCAGAAGCAAGTAATAGTCCTAGTAGGATCCAAGCTAACTTTCTCAACTAAGGATAACAGAATTTAGTTGGAAAAACATGACGTAGTTTAATTCTCAGTAATCATCAATATGTATACGTTTATCGAATGCATATGGCTTGAGTATTGAATTTTCTTAAAGGATTTTGTGATCAGATATATGAGATGTAAAGCAACCAAACCTATGATAGATAGACAGATATGGATAGGGGCTAGCAGCGAAATCCAGAACGCTCGTTTCGTCCCATTTGTGACTAATCAGCTGAGTGTGGCTGAATGTCTGGAGTCAGTAGCTAAGTGCGTGACGCGATAACGTTTGACACAAACGGTACTATGTTCGAGTTCCTGGGTGAACATCAACTCGGATGCACGTAAATTTAGGCCGAAACGCGGATACTGAATTTCACTTTTAAGCCACTACCTATCTCTGCTTACAGTGCTTATGACTTAAGACTATCGAGGCAATCCGCGCAGGATGGAGATATGCTAATAAGAGACTGACCAATCTCATTCTTAAACAACATCCAATAGAAGATGAACTATCATAAATAAACTAAAATTTTCATTGTGCATTCAGAACAATAAACATTAAGAAATAAATTTGTCAGGACAAAAATTTAAAAAAAATAATTGCATTTTAAATTGGTTTCGATGTCTTTATTTGAAAATTTTCGCTTCATTCTTTACCAACTTATGCTACTTATTATTATTCAATAGCTTATGATAATTAAGTTTTTGTGATATCCTAGTGAGCAGGAAATTGTATTTATGACGTCTCGTAACTTAATGTAAGTCACTTCCAGAGCAAATAAACAGCCGGAATAAAATTAACACAAGTTTAAATAATACGAAGGAAACAATGCAGAATATTTTAACTACAATCAAAATCATAATAGGTCTGAATATGTCATTGTCATGCTATTTTGATCACGGTGATTCTGTGTGATATACCGCGGTGCTTTTTTGTGTGGATGAAGGTATAAATTCGTAATATGAAGCAGTGCGTCTTTACAGATTGTTTGGAAAAAGAAATGGGCTAAATATGGTTGTTTAAATAAGGTCCAGGTTGAATGAATAGTCAAACCCTCATCCGGCTACGCTCCTCTCTTTATAGTTGAAAAAACCTTTTTGAATTATTTTGATATTTTTTAAATATCCATCCGATTATTATGACAGTTTAAATTAAATGTTGATATGAGCTAGACCTGCATTGAAAACCTAGAATCATTGAACGGCCGTTTCGTCCTAGTATGGAACTCTTTAGAAGTGCTCATTCACGATCATATAAATAGGACTCAAACGTGGGACCTTCAGTCTAGCGCGCGAACATTTTACCTCTACTGGTTATTGTTGAACATACCACGTACTCCTATCTCTGATCTAACTTGTGGATTTTTAAGTTCTATAGAATTATTAGGAGGTATTTTTGTGTGACTTAGGTGTTCCTTGGCACTAGTCAAGATCTTCCGAGAATGTATCACAACCGACAAAGCCTAATCTGAAGACACGCTTTTGTGCGTATGTAAAGGAGATCATAATTTTTATTCCAACTAAAGAGTTCGTTAAAGTGTTGGTTATGTAATAGAAAGCTCTAATTTTGTATGCTTCCAAGACCAGTTGTACCAATCCAAGATTTTTCATTTGAATCGGTAATTATAGAAGGGTAGTTTTGCTGCAATATGTTTTTTATAATATTCTTAGGAAAACAACTAAATAGTAGGATGCTTATTATATTATCTTTTTCTTTAAGTTTGCCTACTTTGGAAGTAACAATCTTGATTAGTCTTCTGAAATGACTCAGGGCTAGCGAAATTCTTGTGCCAAGTGGATATGCAGAGTTAAAATCGACATATTGATTTGAACGTGTCGGTTTTCAGTATGTGGTTAAATTTAAAATTCTTTTTAATTAGATAGTCTGAGAATGGTAATTTACCATGCTCATCTTCCTTTTAGAAAGCGAATTTGATATTTTCTAAGAAAGTGTTTGTCTGTTTGGAGGGATTTCTAAAGAGTCTTTTTAATAACGAGAAATTTTTCATCCACATGCCTGAACCAGATGCGTGATCTGATGATACCGGCAAAAATAAACTATTCCGTACGGGGCATAAATAAATAAATAACAATAAACGATACCATGGAGATCCCATGGCTATTCTATCCGTTTGTTTACATAATGTCCCTTTTAAAGTGAACAGTGTTGAATTCAAACATAGATTAAGGGATTTCAGGATTAGCTAATGCTCAATGGACATCTGCTAGATAGGGCACTATCACTTTCTTTCAAACGAATAGCGAAGTTCAGATATCTATCTGATGGAATGCTAAAGTACAATATCATAGCTTACCATTGTTTCCATCCTTCGATTATTTATTTACTCTGAAGAAGTGACTTAAATTAAGTCACGAAACGCCGGAAATACAATTTTCCACTCATTAGGATATCACAAAGATAAAATAATTATTAACTTTCTATCCAATATTCAGTTTATTTGGGACTGTTATGCTCAACAGTTTATTTCATTATCAACCATTGTGGAACCTGTAATGCACGTCTCTTGACTAACTTGATGTACTGTGAAAGACAAACACTTGAACATGTATTTACTATTCTGATGCATTTTACTACTTGTTGCAGTATTCCCTTCCTCCATTTGTTGTTAAATCTATAATATGTACTCTATCTGTTGGGACGTTCTTTTTTGAGGACAACTTGTCTATTTTGAATGCATAACAACTAGTTCAATCTTCGCTAACTACTAGTATCTGTTTGCCATTTGGTTTACACTATGCGTTATAACTTGACTCATGTGAAAGTAATGGAAATAGAAACTTCCTTAGTGATGGTGAATTTGACAAGTTGATATCTCACGATTTGAGGTTTGTAAAGTGTGTTGCTTGTATTGCGTTATCTTAATTGTACCGAATTCTTAAAACCCTCATCTACTGATTTCAAGATTTTATGCTCAACATAGTCTCCAAACTGGAACCATCCAAGAGATTCTATGGAAAACATTTATAAACTGATAAATAATCAACATTTCTGTCGCACTAATAATAAAGGAATTTATGTTCTATAATATGTACTCCTGATTTTCTGCATAACTTAAAACGCAGTACAAAAACAATCTGAAATCAGTGTGCGTGTTTTCAAACTTTCAGGCTTCAATCTACATGACAAAATTTTATTCAAATTCATTGGTTATGTTGAATTATTTACAAAGTTTAAACAGTTTGAGTTTTTCCATAGTCTGATATCAAATACCATAAATACAAAACTCAACTTACATAACTTGTGCATCTAAATCCAAAGTGAAATCGGGAAAACTGTATAAATTTTGTACATTCCATTCAACAATATGATAGATATCATTGACTAAATTTCCAATTTTCGAAGCAATCTGTGTTGATGAAGAGATTAAGTCTTCTAATATTTTATCTTTTTCTGCTTGATTTTTTTCATGTACTTGCTTTTGTACAGTTACATTTTCAGTTTCTACAGCTTGTTTAATTTCTCGAGAATGTTGTAATTCCATGTTGGATAATTTCTAAAAAAAAGTAAATATACGTAGAAGAAAATGAATAATTAAAAGATAATAACGTATACTAAACGTTAAATTTAAAACAACTCGTGTCTTACATCGGCCCTCTATCTCATAAATTAAAGATTGGAATGTGGGCAGCAGTAGTACTTATCATGATATCTGACCGATGTATTCTCATTTAAAAGAGCTTAGGATTAATTTCCAATTCAAAATGTACTCACACATGAATGATGCATTGAGTCGCTAAAGTTTAGATAATCGTGTTTTACTGACATTCTCTATTCTATTTTTGTTTGTATTGATACAAAGAAACCCGTTAACAGAGTAAAATATATGGCTTGATATGATCGATAGATTCAATATGTTGGAAGATAGACGCATTCAAATTTTCTCGTATTACACTTCATTGTTACTAACTGAACTCCTGAAATACAATGAACACTAACTTTAAGATAATAAGCATAAGACTAGTCTACCGCACAATTTATCAGCGTTATATTACACAAAAAATTCTGTTATCACTTCATGTTGGTGGAGCACTCATTAGCATATATTTGGATCGTGTAGTTTTTATATTCACTACATTTAATTGTTCAGTCAAATGTAAAACCAATCATACATAATGACACAAAATGTTTACATTTCGACTTATGATGGGGTGTTGGAACTCCATCTAGATTGGGATACATATACTTTTTCTAAGAAATCCCATGCCAAATTTGACTAAAAAGAATTCAATCGGTAGTCGTTAAAATTCCTTTGATTATCAAATCTTATTAGATCAAATTATTGAGCGAATATTCCGAAAAAGTTGGTTTCAAAAGATCTGGTGTTGAAACGAAATAACATGACTCACTGGATAATTTTATTTTATTAGAGGTATAAAAAAGTTTCCCCTTTATTTGCATGGTCTAAACAAATAAATTATTTATATACTTATGAGTAGTATGAAGCAAGTAAGACAAATTTCGGTAGTCTCTTTCAGCAGTTACATGGACTAGATGAATTTTACGGAGTCGATACAATTATTATGAAACATTTAGATACAAAAGTTTTAATTTTCGAGAATTCTTCAGAATTTCGCCTAAAAGTATACATGTATTTCACTTTCTTTTGAATTCTTTTGAATTAATTCATTCGATAAACAAGTAATTCAAATGAATATGTATTCATTATTCTATGTCTATCACAATACAGTGGGTATTAGAGTTGCGAGAGATCCCATATTTTAACTGAGTTCAGATAGTTGGTTTCCTTTCATAGCTTCTTATGTCTCTCGACGACATGTTGTGATTCGGCTGCCAAGTAAATCTCGAATGCAGCTGAGTCACTATGATATGTAAATCATCATTCTTCATTTGATCAGGACCTCAGAAAAATATAGCATATTTCACCCAATTAAGTAGGGTTTACGAACAGTTACCTGCCTTATAGCAGCAAAATTAGACCCAATGTCTCCTTGTGGCTCTGCTGGGTGGTAGAGGTAACCCTGCTCGCTAACTTCGGTGGTCGGAGAAGACAGGACTAATCTACCACTCTACTGTAAACCGGATCACCTGGGTTCCATTCTTCAAGGCTCACTAAAAAACCTGTGGGCTTCTCGATGTATGTGCTCATTTATGTGAATTGTATGAGCCTCGACTTGCGTAGTTTATGTGTGTAGGTGTATGTAAAAGGCACATGCGTGAGTTAGCACTTGGAACGTAAGCTGAAAAATGTCTGCTTTATATCTAATGAAATCAGACGGCTAATCCTTCAGGTTGAAGACATAATAAAAAATATGGCAGTATATACCAAGGAGAGGTGACTGTCAATCCTTCCTGGAAGAGTGCCTATGATTTTGTGTATGTGATGAAGTGCAAAGGCGAAAACACTTATAAATGTAGTGAGTAAGTGACAGTCAGCTGTATCAAATACGTTCGAAGGAAGAGATGACCATCAACCCTCCCTGGTGGGTGAATATATCAAAATGTATGTTACAGCATTAGTGAATGCTGTCGGTGTGCATGTAAAGTGTATTTGCTTACAGTATAAATAAACCTATGTGTATACTAAGGAATGCATGGGTGAAAAACGTATGTGCTGCCAATCTGTATGTAGATCATATTTGCCCCTGGTGCAACGCTTGCGCGCCAAGACCTGAGGGCATAGATTTTTTCACAAAATTACATCTACGCGGTGAGTTTATCAACCTTCAGAAGCGTAAACCCTTTACAGAAAATCTAATAGACTTCACTGGATAATACTTGACCAACCTTGACACGGCTGGAACATCGTACCTGTTTTATATCTTCAGGTCGACTGTTCCGGTGCTTGGTAATAAAATAGTGGTTTATAAGTAATAGTTTAAGTACTATCATAGTATTTTAAATACATAATCTTCAATCTACAGACATCTCGATCAAAACTGTCAATGCCCTTGATAATTTATTTGAATCTGAATCAATAATCTTCATATTTGTTACTTAATGTTGAATTCTTATACAGAAACTAATTTTGAGGCCAAAAAATTGCAATACAAATTTGCTATACAAAAAGGAGATCTAGAAAAATTAGTTAGTGTAGTCCAAATATTCAGAAATGATGATTTCAGTTTATCGTTTGGAAATTATCATCTATTCCTAATCTCATTTTATTATTTATTACCCATAATTATAAATAAGGATAAATACATACTTGATTATAGACTTGTTGAATCTCACTCCTATCGATTTCATGTTTCATTTTTAATGTTTCTATTTGATTTTCTAATGTAATTATTTTTCGTTCTAATTCAGTTTGATATGTATCTGACTCCTAAATAAAAAAAGGAATAGAAACAATGCAAGAACGGTTTGTTAATTTTTTATTTATTGATTGACAATTTTCATCGATGTATCAGCAGTGCAAAATATTTACTTATATCTAAAAATGAATCACTAATATGTGATTGTTATGACTACGTTTCCAGTTTGTTATATCAATTATAACTTATACTTGAAAGAAAAAAAAGAGGAACCACAGCAATTCCCACGACGCGAAGTGTGAACACCAAGACTGATATAGGGGAAGATTTATTAAACTCAAAACATAACGACGATGACCAGAGTCAAAAATACACTCATTTATGTGCTGATTGTACATCGATTTTGATTAATAATTAAAATAACATCACATAGATGAAAAAATACCTAGGGTTATAACAAACCACATGCTACATGTTGTACTAAACATAATTGACGTTAATTTAATACAAGAATATTGTATGTTGAATAAACGTGACACTGAAATAAATTAATGTTATAACGAATAAAATATCACAGTGGAAAAACCAAACTGAATGCTAAACTGAGTAACTATCACATTGAATTGAAAACGGCTGTAATACTGAACAACAATCACCATGAGTAAGAGAATCTAATTTTACTTTTTAGTCCGATTATATGAGTAATAAATTTACAAGCATAATTTCAACTTTTAAAGTGTTCACCTATTCAAAGTTTATTTAGTGTGATAGAATTATATGGAGTTCAAAACCGAATAAGTAAGTAATGAAAAGACCAATACTTCTTTTTATGGCCTATCAGTTTCTTTTTTTGTTTTGAACTTTTCTTATCGTTTTGTTTAGTATCAGTAAGGGGTATTGTGAAGATTTTAGAGATTTCAATAGTTGAAATCATGAGTCGATTGAGGCTAGACCACCATGAAAAACCTGGAAGCACTGGACGACTGTTTCTTCCTAGTACTGGTTTCCTCAGCAGTGCGCATCCATGATCCCGCCCCCCGCGAGATCCGAACCCAGGGCCTATCAGTCTCTCCTGCGAGCGCTTAAACACTAAACCACTGAGCCGAAATCCAACGGTGTTAATGTCTAACTTCAACCAATCCACGAAATCGCGCCACCGTACACCGTTGTCTTCAGTAAGCTGATCGTGGATGGGCAATGTTGAGGAGTCCCATACTTGGACGAAACGGCTGTCCAGTGCTTTCAGATTTTCCATGATGACTCATGGTTTATTTTGTTCTTAAACAGTTTAAAAATTTAAACCAACAAACATACTCTCATTGTAGTATGAATAATCAATTTTAGTAACATATTTTGATAATAGTAATGAGTATTCTAAGTACTAACACCATAGTTCCTTTTTTAATGTCGAATTAATGTAGAATAAAAAGTAAAATCTTGATCAGAAGATTTGTTTGATTCATCAAGCAATATTTATCTGGGAAATATTTATTACACAGAAATACGATGGAAGTATCTTTGGAAAATGCAGTATATTAATACATGACCAAACTAATGAATAGCTTCTATAACAAAAAGAAAGTTAGGAAGAGACCATGAGTATTTTAGAAGAAGAAAAAGTACTAATGTGAATTTATAAATCAGTTACCAGAAGGCTACTTTTTAAGTGAAACCAAGTAAAAGTGGGATCAAGAGAATTCTTATTAGACATCTACTCTGCAAAAAAATATCATACATTATTAATGATGGAACGTACATTTTACTTTGAACAAATGAAAATATACCATTTTCACATTTGCATTACAAACGTTTAACGAAAAAAAATATCGATTGTCTTTCACATATAATTAGAAATTAAATGTGCTAAACTATTGTCTAAACTTAACGTAAAATAGGAAATTAAGGTATATTTCTAAGAATCAATTATTTAATTCACTTCATCATTAATTATATAAATTTGTTTATTTGTTACGTTTCAGAATTTTATAGATCACCAATGTTACAAGTAATAGACAATATGAAGAACCATAGCAGATCACGTGTAACTGAGTTTGTTCACATTTAATTCGGTTAAGCCCTCTTGTTAACTTATTTAACGGACAGAGTCATCCGTACTAATAACAACTTATCTATATTGTTGTACCATTATTATTGTTGTGCTTGTATGAAATATGTATGCTTGAACATTGCTTACATTTATTCGTATATACTCTTTCGGCTCGCTGACTCACTCATTCGCCTCTCTGCTTTGTGGTCTGAGTTATCTGCTAATAAAACTGTAGTCGCTGCTTCTCTTTGCCTTCTGATTTCAAACACCGTTGAGGATTATATGATAACGGTTACGAGGGTGATTGGTTAACGAAACACAGCTACTACAGAACTACACATTTGATATACATACATGGATCCAACCGTAAGTTAATTGTATGCACTTTTCATTGTACTCGCAAAACTTACTGTTATTTTTTAGTATAATTTCAACTTTCAGATTGTTTTTAAGTGAACTTAATAAACTGTCATTTGATGGAATAATTTCAAAAATGAAATTCATCTTTATATTCTTGTACTAAATCATTTGCAAGTTGTATAAGATAATAAATCACAATACTAAAATATTATGACATCATACATAACCCTAAAATAAGACTTGTTCGTACCATTAATAGTAAAAAGATATCTTTTATTTTTCAAAGTTGAATTCGCAAGTCGATCTAAACTAAATCATTATTAAAACCCTGGAAGCATTGTATGGCCATTTTATTCTCAGCAGTGCGAATCCACAATCCTGCAGGCGGGACTCGAACCCAGGAACTTCGATCTTACGGGCGGACGATTAACCTCTAGACAACTGAGCCGGCATCCAACGGTGTATATACCTAACTTGAATCGATCTTTTAATTGTTAACTAGAATCACTTAAGTTAAACAAACATGAATTTAATGCAGTTATATTAATTCGCAACAATATAGTATCGATTATATTAAATGAATATATGAATATTTGACTAAAAAATTGAGTATTACAACAAAAACATAATTTACTTTTTGAATAGTTTTCATTTTATCTTGATAAAATTTTGTAAGATCTTTTTGTTCTTGTAATTCTTGTTTCATTGTTTCAATAAATGAATCTTTTTCATCTTTTAATTCATTCATTTTAATTTTCCATAATTCAAATTTTTCTTTTTCCCATTCAACTAATTCTTTTGAATGTGCTTCAACAGTTTGAACTTTTAATTTTTCTAAAATTTCTTGATTACGACTTTCATGTAATAAATTTTGTGTATTAGTTAATGTTTCATTAAGTGTTTGAATTTCTGTTTGTTTAGACTAAAATAAAATGGGTAATTATTATCAAAAAAGAAATATATTAATACATAGTTATGTTATATGTATGTGTTATGTTCGTTAGAGTTGAATGCTACTACTGATTCGTCTTACTCGGAACGGAACGAGAATCAAGGATTCACAGAGACTCGATAGGCTATACTGGCCCGTTGTCCCCCATTCAGCTAACTCGATCCAGAAGTCTTGGTAAGATGTAGAAAGTGTATTCTACAGACAACCAGAAGATACCAGGTCCATCAAGCACACAAATCAAGCGTATTTATACAAAATATATATGATTGATATTGCCATGGGAGTTTTTAAACATTTAATCGATAAGTTCGTCAATCGACTATGAGCGTGAGTGGTAAGAAATGCCCAAGCATACATCTGCATACAAACTCCACAAAGATACAATTAGAAAATATTGGTTTTGGGGATCTAACGTCCCCTACAGTATGTGAGTTCTATCTACAGTTTAATATCTATTAATATGATTACACTTGTGAATTTTCTTTTTGTATACTATTGAAACACTATAGGGTTTTCAATAACTGATATAAGAAATGAGAAAATTAACTATTTATTTTCTATGTTTGTCACAAATCAATCATAAAGGAAGAAAGTTAAATAGTATGCTCATTTATAGGTTATTCAACTTATGGTTTATACCATTAACTAATATAGTTTCACTGATTTATTGCTCAAAAATTAGGGCTTCATTGAACATAATTTAGTCCTATGTAAATTGTGTTAAAATAACTCAAAATGTTGGTTCTGTATCATCAATAATATGAGTTGGACTTATATTTGTATATCTTTAAAGGTCATTTGGTTAGATCATTATGACTTATGTAGTAAGAACTTAGTAGTAAGAACTAAATGACTTCACATAATAAATAAGCTATTAAAGTATTAGTTTATTCATATTATATTATGACTGTGAAAGATGTACTAGAATTGTTCATTCAAATTGTTGATTGACGACCATCACTAATATCTGTCTTCAAACCAATGTATTTCTTAGACTGAAACCTAGTATTTGCTAACAAAGTAAACTAAAATTATTAGTTAGTTAATTAATAAAATTCTATCCATCCAGGGGACTAAACAACATAATATTGGTCATTATTTGATAAAATGATTGACATAAACCATTTATATTACTAATGTTAAATGATATGCTTTTGAAACAAAACCAACCACAGGACGTACCTACTTACACCCACACACATTTTACTTATAAATAGTAAGATTTACCAGTAATTTATTTTGTAATTCTTCAATATTTTCCGTATAACACGATCTGATCTCGTTGATAGCTTGAATTTTTTCTTTTTGCATTTGTTCAACCAATTCATTTAATTGAATAGAATGAACATCCATTAATTTCGATATTTCCTTACTCTTTTATTAAAATGAAAATAATAATAAAAATAAATCAAATTATTATTGTTATATTTTGCTATGTTTTGTTGTACTTTAAATAAATTGCAAATATAATCTAGGAGTAAATGAAGGTCTGTCAAAATCAGAACTTGGATGAGGTAGTTCAGTCACAAAAATCCTAAAATTAAATAAAATAACTGTCTAGTTTATTTTGATTTTCATGAGTCATTGGGTTGATATTAGTTGTTCATAAAAATCACTCACGATATTATAGTCAATTTTATACATGGATTTTTCTAATCTTTGCCAATATTTAAAGTAATTTATTCATGTGAAGAGAGTTTTCATTGTGATCTGGAAAACTGTTTCTTTCTAGTTTAAGACTCTTGATTAGTGTAGACTCATAACTTTATCGTGAATTGAGTTAAAATTATTCAGACTTCCAAACATGGACTTAAACTTTAGCCGAATGAAATGGAATCCGCTTGTTCTTATTTAGGATTTCACTTGATTATTGATACACTATGAATATTATTCATTACTTATCGATAATATGATTGTTTAATTCATGAAAGATTTACAATCTACCTATTCCCATTTCTCATTAATCCATTTCAAAGTTAGTCCTGAATGATTATATTACCATCACTTATTTTAGTAATTTGTGGGAATCAGTTGAATGTGAAGAACGTTTTCGTCGAATTGAACTAAAATCCATAACTAAGATTAAGTTGATTAATAAGAACTACTAATGTCATGTATGCATCCAAATGAAAATCTTACGGAAAGACAAAATTTATTTATTGCTCGAAGCAATACAAGTGTCCAAGAACTTACTATCTTTAATACCAGTAAATAAATACAATTTCAGAATCAATGAATTTGATCTGAATAGAATAAATTAGTCTGAATTTTAGTTAAAAAAATATAACAATTCATTTGTTACAAGTTTTCACAGAGTTTACATTTGATCTTTCGGTTGATTGTATCATTATATATATATTCAGAACTTTGAGTAAGAGGTACATTGCTTATTTATGACATCTTGGTTACCAATCTAAATTACTGAATGATATCAAACGATAATCATATCAGGTATAAGATTTCGTTTTCGTACTGAATAGATTTGATGTTATTTTTCAGTAAAACAATCCATTATAACTAAAAACAAATGTTTGAATAATTTAAAAAAAATAGTTTACTATAGTGGTGTACTTCGCGATATGAATGAATACTGACCATTCTTCAATCACAAAAAGTTAATAAATTTTACTATGTATTATTGTTTGACATTACTCATACCAGTGGGTTGATATATTATACATTACATAAGTTTAATCCTGTTTTTAATAAATAAGTAACCAACGGCAATTTATGTTGGAAGCAATCGATTTACATCCAGAAAGTAGGTGCTTAAATTTCTTATGCACCCAAATGCCCTGGTACAGCCGAGAGTGGAGAGAGTCCGCTCTCCCTCTCGAAATGCTCTCACATGGCCACACGTATGTACCTCTGACAGGGAAGTCCTACCCACTGCCTTCTCGTTGCGGGGGTGTTGTTTACGAAAATGTCAGGACGAAAAGTGGATGTCCGACGCTTTAATCGGGTTGGTGGACATGGAGAGTCCACCTAGGGAAGTTGGAAAATCCTGATTCCAACCCAATGGTGTACATGGGCTACAGCATCCTAGAGAAACAAATGGCGTATGAACCAATAGTTGGTCACCGGCTACCATGGAACTGCATCTCCTGACGTTGCTTCACTGCCTTGTAGATCAGAACTTAAGGTCGAAGGCTCCAGGTGTGGCCCTCTAAGAAAACCACCTGCTTTGGTCTGGGCACCCGGGCAGTATCACAGTTCTCACACATATTAAATGAGGCTTGTGTTGCGCATATGTAGTTGGTGCCTCCTTGTACCAATATCTATGCGGTAAAATAAATAACTAATATATAGTTTAGTTTGCTTTCATTGAGCTGAAATTTCACTGTCTACTAAGAATATCATCCATAGAAGTTTTGCCAAGTGTCATATTCAGAATAATTATAATTCATCTAATAGAAAGGTTTACAGAAAAAAGGTTTAATAAGGGTATATGAAATAAACTATTTTGATTATTTTCATAGAAAAAATGCATTACAATGACCGATAACTACATTTTGTAAATTATATCCGTGAGTGTATTTTGATTAATAATATATTCTACAAAAACTACTGTAGTATTTGTGAGTTAAGAAATTTAATCTAAATATTAGAAACTTCACTTTCAAATGAAAAATATATTATACTTATACTTCAGGATGAAGGCATTACAATATGGTTAAATTAACTTTGCAGATAATATAGGACGAAACGGCCGTTCAGTGCTTCCAGATTTTCCATGGTGGTCTAGCTTCAATTGACTTATGATCTCAACTGTTTAAATATATTTGAATTATGTATTCAATAGGTTACATGATTCTTTGGATGATGACGTTACTAATTACTGGCATAGTATGTTTCAAGCAGTGTGAAAAATACTGTAAAATGTATATTTACGAATGACATAGATGTAAAACAATTGACAATATGATATGAATAATAAAGTAATGTGTTTCTTTTTTTCTTCATTTAAAGCTAACGCGAACGAGATACATCTTTGATTTAGACTATATTGTTATATCACCATTACTGGATGAAATGACTATCAAATTATCCTAACTTCTTAGATTACACATTTTTATCTTTTTGATTGACAACTTACATCATTTAATCACTAGTGAAGATAAAGAAAATGTAATAAAATGGCTTATATGAATGTTATTCATTGTTCTTCTAATCATGATTAAAACTTGTATTCAAATTCCACTGGAAATTATACTAAGCATTATAAAATGAATTGTAATTAATAAAATGAATTATAAATGATAATCAATAATTCAATCTATTGGAAAACATTGAACTTACTTTTTCAACAGATTTACTTTCTAGAATCTCTTCATATTCACTACGAATTAATCTTTCTCTTTCACGGTGTTCTTTCATTAGTTCCATATTTTCATGTCTATTATTCCATGGATTATTAAAAAATATACGTTTTAATTATTGTTATTATTATTATTACTATTACTGCTAATGTCAATTTCATACAGATGCGATTTATACAATTCCCTTCACCAAATTAAGTTAGAAGTTGGATTAACTTATTTATGTTTTTACACAAATGTTTAAAGATATTTTGATTTGAAGGACTTATTATTCTTCTTCATTACTCTCTATTGCTAACCACCTACAAAAACAGCCATTATTTGATTCCTTTTCACTTAAGATTAAGTTTTAAGAGATAGACGAAGGAATTAAAAAAAACGACAAACAATGAAGGCAACACTAGGTTTCACACTTTCATTTGACGTTTTGGTAGTTTTGTACCATTCTCTTAAGTTGTATATCACTTAAATTTATACCGTTTTAAAAATATGAGTTTAGACCAATATATAGTAAACCCTGATGAAACATAGTGAATAGTTTAGCAAAATGAATTGAGCTGTATTTTGAAGAATTACCAGATTGATTAATAGTTATTTGTAATTAGTGAACTTTCATGTCTCATCACTTATTTTTGAGTAGAGTGTTTGAATTTTGTTACGATATTTTATAAACTCACTGTACTCGAATGAATAATAACAATCCAATACATTCACATAAGGTCTTAATTTTTAGCATATTTACTTTCATAATTGCTGTAAAATAGGATCAATTATTTTAAAATGTTAATGTTAGTTCACTTTACCACCAAATAAATAGTGGCATAAGTGGTTGAGACGCTAGTATGCAAGATTAAAATTGCATAATAATTTGCAGTTTGTATTCTTGTAGATGTTTCGTTCTTTTTTCTATGACAGTTTAACAATACAAACGATATCTAATCTAGTAAATCTATGAACCCAAACTATTTTTCACAGAAACAAGTAATAGAATCACAAGGTCAAAGATAAAAAAATAAAGAAAAAGGTAATCAAAATAAACGTGCAATTAGTAACATCATAACTATGAAAACAATCGTTCAAATTTCATTTGGAATAAACAAACTGTTAATCACTTGTCGATACATTTTAAGAGCTCACCTGATTCCAAAGTTTGGACTAACGATGACACCTTGAGACTTATTTCTTCAATTTAGAAAATGAAACATACAACTAGTTAGTGGAATAGTTGGACATTTCATGAACTCTGGTCACGTAACATCACTTGGCATTTTCTTCAAAATCATCAAGTGATTTGGTTCGAGTGGGATGCAAACCGATAACTTATAAAACTTAAGAGCGTTAATCATTCATATTTTTAAACGTAAGCTCTGGGTGCAAAAGAGATAGCTGCAAGCCATCACTATCACTAAAACCTAATTTTTTATAAGTGGTAATATGGTTGTTAATGTTTTTTAGCAATTCATTATTATTACTAAATTTTCTCATACTTGTTAAATCAACAACATCTGTGGTACAATTTCGTCAATTGGTTAAAGTTAGACATCAACACCATTTTATGACAGCTCAGTGAACTAGAGGTTGTGCATTTGTGCACGAAACCGATAGATCCTGGGTTCGAATCTCGCAAGAGGGATTATGGATGAGCACTGCTGAGAAGTCTCATATTAGGACGAAACGGCTATCCATTGCTTCCAGGTTTTCCATGATGGTCTAGCTTCAATTGACTCATAAACTCAACTATTAAATTACTCAAGTTTCTACAAACCCCCCCTCTCTATTTATCTATATGTTTGATTAGAATAACAATGTGAATCAAATTAAAAATTGATGACCTGAATCATTTCAGGAACTGTGACCTGTAACAATTTGTCTTTCATGAATATATCTATATCTGTATGTAAATAAGAAAAAATGTTTACCTTAAATTTTCTTTCTCTTGTTCCATTTCTTTAATTGTTTTATTTAATTTTTGTAATTTCTCTTCAAATTCAGTAGTTTGTTGTATTTGTTCATTGATAGAATGATTTATTTTTAGTTCATATTCTTTTGTTATAATATCAGAGTTTTTAATTTCATCTAATTTCATTTGTTTTAATTTCTCTTGATATGCCTTTATGAATATGATAAATAAAATTACATTTTATTTATTATTATTTTAATACCGGTTTTGATTATAGTTTACTTGTCAAATATGAAACTAATACTACTTGTGGCTGAGATTAACTGTGGTTAATCCTGAGTTATATTTATTTATTACATTGTTATTAGATAAAAATGTTTTAGGTAGAAATAATCTCATTAACATCTGTATTTGCTAACATAAACTAAACAATGAAATAGAGGGTTTGTGAAGATTGTTGAATTTTATAGTTGACATCAAATGATTGACCTTAGTTAGACAATTACTGAAAACCAGGAAATACTGAACAGATATTTTGTTGTATTTTAGGAATGATTAACAACACCCATTGACAACCTTATCAAGAATCAAACTTACGACATTCAGGTCTCTTGGAGAGGGCTTAACATTTAGTTCACTGGATCACATTATGTCTAAATATTGCGAATTAATTTGTGTTAGAACTGTAAATTTTTAATTTCCGATGCAGTGATCTGAAGGTCAACTTCTCATCATGAAATATGAGTGTCTTATTTTCGATCCATCGGAAGGGTTGCGGATGACACTAATGTGGAGTCCTCTTCTAAGAAAAAACAGTTACCCAGTGTTTCCTGGTTTTCAGTGGTTTATCATACATGGTATTATAGAATGACGTTTTTGGACCAACATTAAACACCATTTTCTAAACAGTCATTGAATCACTGAGGAATACTAGCTTGAATATCCCAAAACATAAAAATTGGTGCACGAATTCATTAAAATTTCTTACTACGGACAGTTTGTGCCAACACAAAACATGAATGTAAATACAATAATAATAAACAAACATTTTCCATTTCCATCAATTCAACTTTGTGATTTTCTTCTGTATTTTTCAATTTCTCTTTCATTTCATTCCTTTCATTTTTTGTTTCATCTAATTCAGTTGTCCATTTGCTTCTTTCAGCAGTTAACTGATTAAGACGACACATTGTGACTTCTAATTCCTACGAAGTAAAAAAGCGGAAAATAAAAGTACTAGGTAGTAATATAGCATCAAATGCTAGAGGTTGCTTTTACCAAAGTAATAATGACAAACTGTTTACAGAATAAGACGAATTTAGTTTATTTTATCACATAATGCAGAAGGACAATAATAATAAAGATATGCACTATAGTTTTCGTCTCAAACTGCCATCTTCTAGTGATCAAATGGAGACCATGATAAATCAAGTAACTATTTCATCCTAGATTCTAAATCGATAAAAAAATTATTCACAGATTCTAAAGTAATCAAAAGCATGGTCATCAGATTTCATGCCAAGCACAATGCATTAACACATTTAATATTTGTTTCACAATTACCATGAATGAAATTTAATAAGCAAAGACTCTGGGAATAACTATGAATATTCTTTCCAAATCTAGTCGCTACCTTAACAATACCTAATTTTTACCAATCTTTTACCTGTAAATTAGGGATGAAAATTATCGATGATCATTTACGATCTTGTCACTAGCTATTGAATAGATTTCCTTTATATTTGTTTATAATTAATTATTATAAGATCTCTTCGATGAGTCGAATCCTGTTTTTTGTAACGTCCTAAACTAAAATTATGTCATTCATCATAGTTAGGCTAAGTAATTGGAAAGAGCAAAATGCCTGCCACAAAATTTTATTCTTCGAAATTTTGTTCTGAGAAAAATCATAATCGAAAACATTCAAATAAACAACTAATTTAGATTTTCTGCCTGCGGAAAATGAAATCTAGACATCAAGTGAATAAAGACTTGAATATAAAAAGTTTATAAAAGATGTAAACTGTTTTTCATTATTTGATTTTTTTTACCTCTTCTAATGCAGTGATAATTTGTCTTAAACGTTGCTGTTCGGCGGTAAATTCTTGTTTGATACTCATTAAACGTTTTTCTGTAGAATAACGTTCACTAGCCTCCTCTTCATTAACTCGTAATATCTCATACAATTCATCGCGTTCATTAATAATTGCCATGATCTAATGAGTAAGCATAGAAGATCAAATTGATGCAAAACAAATTAGGATCTTAGTACTTCTGCATTGAATACAATAGGCAGGTTAACACTACTAATACTATGGTGGTTTATATATATATATATATATATATATATTCATATACCCCAATTCATTACTCAAACTTAATAAACTATACATTGCTCAAGAAATCTACTGTCTGATCAAATTTTCAGGCCCCTCGTATTCCATCAGCATTTACTTTATACTTTTATTTTGATCTGAGTAACCGCGATTTTTAACAAACTTGAGATTTGCTTAAAAGGCTATTTAAAATGACCAAGTTATGGTGTTATGCATTTGAACAAACGTATTAAAGTCAGTGACATCATGAAGTGAAAAATATTTGAATATATAGTTATTTTTCGTAAATGGTAATTGAGGAAAAGTAAAACTGTAATCAAAAAGTGGGATCATATCTTTTGTTTAGTTAAATTTCTAAAAGGTTATCCGGAATAATTATACTTTGTTATTTCGAATTCTATTATATTGTAAAATTTCTTACAATGTTAATGAATTCACAATTGAAATAGCCTGGTTTGTAGATTGCTTCAATACTATATGACCAGATTTATATTATGTATTTTCATATAAACATCAAGCTTTATTAAAGTGAACTAATGTCAATAATAATATTTTTAATTAATACTACGGCTTACTTCTTCTTTGTTGAGGGTTATACCAGATATTTGTACACATTCGTTAACCTGATTAATATCTCCTTTCATGTGATCACATCTTCCTTTTAAAGAAAATGATTGTGAAGTTATACTACGGTCAAGATATTGTTCATTTTGCCGTATTTCACATGACAATCGACTATGAAATGGTGGATAATAATCATTATTGATAAAATCAGACTTTTTATTTGCACTTTGATCAATATTATTGACAGAAGGAATAATAGTTTTGATTGAATGATCATACGTAACAGGAGGCAATTTTGATTTACCATGAATTTCATTAAATATTTTATCATTGCTGAAATGTACAACAATAATCAATACAACGTAAAAAAAAGTGTAGAATGTTACAGATAAGATAAAGTTACACTGTGATATACCGTATTACTAACGTTATTTTCCAACCGTTAAGCTATTCTAAATAACTTGCTTGTAAACACAAATATAAGTTAGTCATAATGAATTTATTAAATAATCACTGAATGACAATTAATTTCAATCGTCCTAGTTGCAAATAAAATCGACTGACAATCATTTCCAAACTAGACGGTGAACTAGTAGGTAGGTGATTTTTTCGGCTTTTTTATTCAGTTTGAAATAGCATTTCATTACAAATTGTTATTGTGTAATAAATTATTGACAAGCATAGGATATTTTAAAACCATTTTATCTTAGATTGTATCTTCTTACTAGTAACCCAATGATATCTTACTAATTAGGAGATCTAAGAAATCTGAGCTCTGTCTTATGCGACTACTCGATTTAGTGTAGTGTACAATTTATTCTAATTTAAATTTCGTTCAAGTAATTCCAAATTTTTTTTTTAGGTTGTGACATAAGGATAGTGGTTTTTAGTTAACTTAATAAAATAACAATTTCATTATCCACGAGCTGACCTATAGAAACTAGTGTAGTGATTTAATGACTGTTGATACATTTACAGCATTCTAGTCATTTCTATGATGCTATTGATTCATTATTAAGGTTAACGACTTTTTAAACGTAGTTTGTTAAACCAAACAAATCTTAATCTATCGTTCTTTTATTCACCATAATCTTAACCCTATCAAATTATTATGTCGAAAGTTCATTCAGATGTTTATCGTTATTATTCTCAAGCGCGTGTAAAACCGAGAAATATATTTATTTATCATTTATTTAGTGTTACACGCTTTTCCTAAACTACTCAATTGTAGTTGATTGATTGTAGTGAATATTTAATTGTTTAAGAGAGACAGTATTCAACATAATCTTTCTGCATCTCGCAAACCATTCAAAACAAATTAGTTTTAAATAGCTGCTTCCTTTTAATTCAAATTTTCATAGTATTGCGCACTTACGATCTAACTGAAGAACGAACTCAGAACCTTCAGATACTGACTCACTGAATGAATGTTACGACACTTAAAGGTTCTAATTTCGTTTCCTGGCTGAGTTGTGGTTAACCATTATCGATAAGTCCCTAACCAGGTATAGAATACTTCCTCATTTAAAAGGGTTCGCCAGTCAAAGAAGATTTACTATTACCTGTTGGTTTAAAGCCCTTGAAATAGTGAACGAAATCTTTTGTAATAATTTTTTTGAAGGATAATCAATGAACTAATTAACAACACCCTTCATCTGAACTGAAATAATGAATATATTCGGATGAAGTGAGACCAAAAAAATGTTAAAAGTTGTGTTTATTTAACATGTGCGTTTGTAAATTAATGGTCTTACTGTATTTTTTTATGATTTAGATTGTTCATTTTTCTTGATTCACAAGATTTCTCGGGATAATAACATCCTTTCATCGATTGATTATTCAATAAACGTGAATCATTCTGATATGGTTCATTAGAGACATTCATTAAACTAATGGATTGTAAACAATCCCTACTCTATAAAATTAAAATTTAGAACTATTATATTTTACATGCAAAAGTAAGACGAAAAACAATCTGGTCAATCTATTATCATTTTTGACGTAGAAATTTTAACGTTAAAAGTAAATTACTCATAGAAGTAATTGATATATATAACCAGTGATTCAGTATCATTATGTTATTAAGGAATAAATTTCCAAAAACAGTTTGATAGAATTTCAAGACATGAACAAGACTTATGTAGGGGAATAAAATATCTTAACTACAGCGATGTACGTCTGATTTCTTGCTTTTTTCACTGACAATTGAACTTTTCGTTAAGAATAAGTAAATAAATTAATTCATCAAATACTTTCTTGAGATTTATTGATTTTCAGAGAATAATTTTATGGAGATTTTACTAATTTAATAATCGAATTCATGAGTCGATTAAACCTTGATCACCTTAGAAAACCTGAAAGCACTGGATGGCTGTTTCGTCCCAGTATGCGACTCTTCAGCAGTACGCATCCACGATCCCGCATGAAGGTCTCGAACCCCATTCAGTGCTTCAAGGTTTTCTGAAGTGGTCTTGCTTTAATTGACTATTAAATTTATTTATTTATTTTCTATAAACTTCAAAGATAATAGAATAGAAGTTAAAATTATTCAAAATTTACCATGTGTAATGCCAAAAGTAGTTATGATGAATTTTAATTTACAGATAAATTTAATCAACTCAGAAAAATATCTAAAAATATCTAGAGCTTAGATTCTTAATATACCGAGTGTGACTTGAACACTCGAACACTAGAACACTCACAAGTCGCGAATGAGAAGACAGAAGACAAGTGAAAGGAATGCTATTCCAAACAGTGTCAATTATGGTGCAAAACTTTCGGGTTTTTATAGTTTTTAGTAAAAACCAAATCATCATTATAGTCATCCAATCCTCACACAGGGGGTTATTAGCATTTGTCCAATAGGAATGCTACACGCAGGGATTCTGGAATATTCTTCCAAAAGATGATTGGATAGAATATCTTCGGCTCTTTCTGAGCTTCTCGAGTTCACCCATGGACCGTCCTCACAAAAGTTAATCTAATTTCTAAGATGTATGAAAAATTAAGAAGAAACGAATCGAGCGAAGAAAATTGTTTAGTTGTTATTCATACGAGTGTGTTGTTAAGATTTAATTATATTTTCAATTCACTTTCCAGCAAAAATAGCATACATTCAAGACTTGTTATAAATTGTAGTCTACTTCCTATTTTTAAATTGTGCCATCTAAAAGCTGACTTAATTCTTAGCTGGAGACTTACTTTAGATAAGACTTCAAATAAACCAGAGATTGCTTATATCCATTAAAACATCTGGATCTAATATCCAGCATAGTAAACGATCGAATGAACAGTTCATGTGAAAATGTCTAACGTTCAAACAAAAGCTCCATTTATTTAATAAAAATTGTGACCCTTCTATACGCTTAAATCATAAACAATACATTATCATGAGAATAATTAGCAGCTTAAAAATAGAAGAAACGACAGAAATAAGTTTTTATGTTCCTCAAATATGTGAAAATTATTGTTTACCTTATTGTCTATCGATAACGGTGGATTGATTGAATTCATTTCATAAGGAATCAAAGAGTTTGTATGATATTTCTCTTGATTACTTTTATTTTCAACAGTGGAATTATGTTGTATATCAGAGGTATTGTCCTTTTTTGTAAAGATTGTTTGACTATTATGTAGATTAATATGATTTTCATCTGAATTTACATTGGGATTTTTCTGTGATAATGTGTGCCTAAATGTTTAGATGAAATTTATACTTATTATGAATTAGAAAGCACATTAGTTTTTTTAGTATATATTAAAACTTAGCTCTACTTATAGATATCTCGTCAGCATATATGTGTTACATAGGATTTTGCAAAAACATTTACATCCCAACACATATACATCGTTTCTTTTCTTTAAGGTAACTTTATACAATTAGATTGATAAGTTTCAAGTTACCATTGATATCTATATTGTTATATGGGTAATTAACTCATATGCAAAAATTTCTAAATGAAGATTTAGAAATTATTGAGATAAATTATTTACTAGAGAGTATGTTTGTGTTATAAGAGAAAGGGGAACATATAAATCACAGTATGAAATTATGAAAAAGATTTGTGACGTGATATGATATTTTTGACAATATTTGATCTGAGTTGAATTGTTGGATTGTAAGGTTCCCACCAGCTTTCCGAACAACTGGATTGCTGTTTTATTCCACTAGAACTTCGGGATCCATGTCTAAAAATTAGCCACTAACGAAAAATTTGTTAATATTCATTATGGTAACTGTGCTAATCGGTGTTTATTTCGGAACGAAAGTTTATGTGAAGTAATAAACAAGTGCAAAATGACTCTACGTCTTCTATTTTCAGTAGTTTTCATTCTGATGCTATGAATGTATTCCATATTAAAAAATACCAGTTCAATCATTTAGTTCACAACGAACCAGTGATTATCTTGTTTATTAAAACTAAACATTGAACGATTGTTTTAATGATTTAGGTAATTATATAAATATCACTAACCTTTCTTTAGTGTTCACATTCACAATTAATCTGACCTTATTTTGAAATTTTAAAATCTGATGATAAATACATGACAGAATTGAAAAGCTACATAAACTAGTTTTGAGAACTAAGGACGTCTATAAATGAAATTCTTGACAAGATGGATACTAATTCCCGTTCTTTCTTCTTTATAATTCAAATATTTAACTGTGTAAATACATCTTAGTTGATGCAAGTGAACACTACAATTTTTTATTGTTAACCTCAGTCTTCTTGGACTAAAACGAGTCATCATAGAAAATTCAAAAGTACAGTAAAAACGTTATAATCCATAATAGTTAAAATCTTCAACCCACGTAGTTCACTTGTATTCGAATTTAGTTTAAGAGAAAATCAGATATATCCATTTTTTCTGTCACCTATCACTTCTTTAGAAAATTTATCAAAAAATGAGTAGGATTAAATTGATATTTGGCCATGGTTCTCAACTCTCTAAGATATGGAGGAAAAGTCAGGTCACATAGGTTTATTGGTAAAATTCTATTAGACCAAGGAGTTAAAATGCACTTGTGCGCACTCACGATCATTTAGTTCAACTGGTTTCATTTGTCACTAGTTACAACTGTCTAGTCGGATTTGGGTAATCGCTGCCAAGTTAGTATTAATATTCAAACAAAGTTTTTGTCATCAGCTAATTTCAGCGATGGATCAACTGAATGCCTTAATTAGCACTTATCATATAGGAGTAAGGAAACTGAATAACACCTACGGTAATAAGGTAAAACTGAGTCAATATTATAAGATTCACTCTTTGTAGTTCTTTTGGGCTGCTGAACGAAACAATACTTTAACTTAATTCAATATATGATAATTTATTCACTGTATACATAAATAAACATTTTTAGTTAAATAATTAGGTACTACTTACCAAGTGGGTAGTAGTGTTGCTGTACTTGACGACTTTTTTATCTCAGCACACAGTGATTGAACTGGTTGATATGAATTAGTTCTATGTGTATCTGTTTTACAGAAACAAAATATAATTTATTAGTACCGTAAATAATAAAAGTATTAGAGATTATAAATAATACATACAAGTCAAATAAGTTGATTTGTGGATAAAATCATACTCTAATAATCGAGTACTTACTTATGCCTATTCCACTCATGGAGGGGCATAGGCCGCTCACCAGCACTCTCCATTTAACCTTGTCCTGGGCAATCCTTTCCAGTTCTTTCCAGTTTCTATCCATCCTTTTCATATCTGCTTACCGTTCCCGATGCAATGTGTTCTTTAACCTTCCTCTTTACCGTTTCCGTTCAGGATTCCAAGTCAGGGCTTGTCTGGTGATGTAGTTTCATGATTTGCGTAATGTATGTCCTATCCAGTTCCAACGTGTTTTCCTAACTTCCTCCTCAGCTGGAAGCTGGTTTGTCCTTTTCTACGGAATGGTGTTACTGATGGTATCCGGCTAATGGATGAAGAGTATCTTGCGTAGACAATGCTAGGATAGAAGGGCCAGGTCAGCTGCGAAGTCCAAATCGTCTAGCTGAGTCCAAGTTGTTGATTGTATTCCATACTTCCCGTCAGATGTCGAGGTCTTCATAATCCAGTTGACCACAGGAAGAAAGAGGAAGGGGGAGAGTAGACTGCCTCGTCTGACTACGGTCCTCACTTTCAATGCATCTGTCAACTGTCCTCCATGCACCACTTTTCAGTGTAGTCCGTCGTATGAACTCCGGATGATGTTGACCATTCTCTCAGGTACTCCATAGTATCGAAGAACGTTCCATATGGTTCTCCTATCCGCACTGTCAAATTCCTTTTCATAATCCATGAAAGTGATGTATAGTGACGGGTTCCGCTCAAACGAATGTTCAACAATGATCCGTAGTGTCGCAATTTGGTCTGTGCATGACTGGTCACTATGGAATCCAGTCTGTTGACCTCGAAGTTGGGCATTTATTGAGTCTTCTATCCGGTTCAGCAACACTCTGTTGAAAACCTTTCTTGGTACTGACAGTAGTGTGACGCCCGTGTAGTTCTCACATTTGCTCAGATCTCTTTTCTTCGGTATCTTGATGAGGTGTCCTTCTTTCCAGTCTGTTGGCACTTGATTTTTCTCCAAAATGTTCCTGGACTGAACGTGAAGAATCTTTGCAATTACTTCTATGTCTGACTTTATTGCTTCTGCCTGTATATTGTCAGGTCGTTCTGCCTTCCCTTTCTTGATTTGTCCGATGGCCATCCTGATTTCTTCGATCTTTGGTGGGGTGATATCTATAGAAAGGTCCGTGGATGCTACTTTGATTTCCGGTGCGTTCAGTGGAGCTGATTTATTTAAGAGTTTCTCGAAGTGTTCTAACCATCTGTTCCTCTGTTATTGAATTTTAGTGATTGGTTTGTTTTCCCTGTTTTTGACTGGTTGCTATGATTCACTATGTTTTCCTGTTACTTTCCTCGTTGTATCATATAGTTGTCATATATTTCATCATTCTGCAGCCTATTTCACTGTCGTTTCTTTATCTTCCATGTATTTCTGGTTGTCGCCACTATTGATCTACTTCACTTGCTTGTTTGCTTCTATGTATTTAGCTTGTGCCTTGACTTTCCCTGTTCTTTTTCGAATGCTATTGACTTCTGTCTTCTTCAGTTTCCTTTCTTGAATCTTTCCCACGGTTTCCCCAGAGGTCCCTTCTTAATGATGATACTTCTTGCAACCAGCACCTATTCTTTATTGTCGTCGTTGCTATGATTGGTAGGTGCATAACATTGGATATCGTTCATCGTCATTCCCTCCTTTTTTGTTTTGAAGGTTGCTTTGATGATCTAGGATCCATGAGATTCCCATCCTATAAGTGCATTGAGTGCTTGTTTGGATAGCATCAGAGTAACTCTCTGAGTATGTGGGGCATTTTCCACTCCGTGACCGGAGTACAGCAGCATCTCTCCCTTATCCAGCCTTTGCTGTCTACCTTGGGTTCAGTGGGTTTCGCTGTTTCTGAGAACCGACAAATTGTATCTCCTCATATACGTTGCTATTTGACAGGTCCTTCCGGTCTCCCAAATTGTCCGGAAGTTCCATGTCCCTACGTTAATCGTTGCCCTGGTTGTTAGAAGAGGTATCATCCTCGTGATTTCTGAAGAATCTTGGCTTTCCTCATCAGTCGTCATAATAAAATAATGCTAAAATTTAAGATGGCACTTAGTGCTAATCGACAGGAAGCCCTGAAACTGGATTGCACGCTATTTCGAACTTGTCAGCAAAATATAACTGTGATTAAAAGTACGTTGCATTTTGATAAGTAAATGGATTGGTAACTGAATATTTTCGCGCTATACTAGTGGACAAAAGTGAAGGAAATATTAAAAGATTTGTTCAACACTCAACCTTTTGGTGTAATATAATTTATGGTATCTCTAATAAGACTAACAATTAACACTAGTTGTTTCTAAATACAAAAGATTTCTCAATTGAGTACAAAGATCTCTAATTTAACATGTATGTTGCTGAACTTACGTAGAAATTAATCAGTGGGCTTCTGTTGCTCTGTACTCAACTTGATGAATGATATAAAGTTATTTATGATCAAATACTGATTATGATTACTGACTTTTAACAGTGGAATGTAAGTTTCGAGTTTTAACTCCACTTTAGCAAAGGATACAAAAGTAGAGGGACTAACAACAGATATTACTCTAATTTCGTATTTAGATGTATATATGAGTTCTCTGAACTAGATGAAGAAATAAACCGAATAGATTCTACTGTCGCGAAAAAGAATGAAGACAGTGCAAAAGGTCATCAGAAGGGCTTAGTTTGCCCGGATTAGAAAATATCATTTCTGCTTGAATTAAGTCCTAGTAATTTTTCTTAGAACTATATAGTGAAACGTTTACATCTAAGTCATATAACTCAGAGAACACAACACCATCAAATCCATACATTTTAGCTCTAATTCTCTATCACTATTTATAAATCATGGTAAACTCATTATAAATTTTGGTTATAAACCGGAGATTTAGATTGAAACGTCAATCATTTAGTTAAATGTAGTAAAACAAAATTGTCACATTATTGGTAAAATTCATGAAATACACCATAAAATTGGTTAACATTTAGTCAGTCTGTATGTTTAAACGAGAACCGTATATATGACCTGGTAAATTTTACTATACCTCTTTTAAAAAATATAGTAAAATATTCAATGGTCTAACATATTTATGATATACATATTCAACAAGATACATGCCATTTAGACATGAAAAAAGTGTTCTAAATGATTCGAATCAATATTACATTCATACTAGTGGGTGTTAAAACATAACAAGCTAAAATGTACCAAACACACGATCTGTTATGCGTTTTTAAAAAAAACTATTTTACAGTACGGAGGTTTATATATACAGTCAACCTATTAGGATTAATTGAATTTCATAGTCTAATTCACAAACTGTATTCAACGTAAATACCTTTTATTAGGAAAAATGATCAACTATTTTAATAGTGTATTAAAAAGCGATCTAAATATAACATTATTTTGAAAATAAATCAATTTGAGAACCCGTTTTTGTATTGTTTGTTTGAATCTTCCTACTGATATTTAGGACTTCGATTGATCAATCTCTTATTGCCATATGCGTATATTGTGCGAATTACCTCAATATTACTTTATTTCATAAGCATTATGTGGGAAAGATGTACGGTGGCTAGCAGTGGAATCCAGGTACGTCCAGTTGACAAGTCCTAAATAGAACGAGACTCGCATCCTGGATTATACTGCTAAAATTGAAATAATGTATGATTTCGATTCCATTTACTTTTAAAATAAAACAAACCAAGTCAAACTTAATAAATATCGTGAAAACAATGTTTCCTGTTTGTCATCTGCCCCTTTTTCTAATCTTTAAAAAACACCTAGTGAAATACTATCATGCAGTTGAGACATAAAAGAGCATTTAGTTAATTTGCACTCATTTATTTTCAGTATTAGCAAAAATGTATAATAGATTATCACGCAATGAAATGAACAATGTAGAATGTATAAAACATATTCGAATGATCGTGTCTAAAACTATTTCATCAATATATACAAATATTCATCAAGTTTAGAACAAGTAGTTTGACAATGATTGGACGCCGATTATAAAGAAGTCATTCTATGTGAAAATTATGTTTGAAATAATCTCAGCGATTGAAATTTACGGTAATTTCAACGTTTCGTCCAGCAAACTTGTCTGGACTTCTTCAGGGTAATAATCAAAATCATCAAATAAATATATAGCGTTTTATTTGACAAATAACTTTTTAAAATGATATATTACTTAGTGAAGTTGGTAAAAATAAATAATTTCAATTATGTACTAATATGTTATGTTTCAGAGAGTAGTTTTACTTCGACAGTGTAATTAGTTTTTATGCATAAAGAACACCAAAATAAATATTTTGTCAATTATCCCTCGTTAAATAGATTGAAAGAAATGATTACTGTGAATATCCAGGTTGTAGATAAGTCACTGTAACTTGGACACTGCTATATCAGAACTCAGAAATATTTTAGCAGTAAATCATTTAAAGAAACACGTTACCTTAACGAAGATGCAAGTTATCTCCAAAATAATATCAATGAGACGATTCAAAATACTTAAGTTTACTACAAGTGAAAATATTTACCAGACTATATTTAGTTACTATTACAATTGCTGGAAAGAATAACCTGTCAGTGAATATTCATCCAACTGATCTTGATTACAAATTCTAGACATACCATTAGTAAATAAGCTATCTGTAGCATAGAAAACAAAATGATTATAACGAACTATGTTATACAAAGATATCTTTCTATATAGACTAAAGTGATCTAAAACAATGTTGTAAAAAATACATATAGAACCCATAGCAGTAATCTACTTTAAACACACACAGGATGGTATCAAAAACCTTCATCATTTGACACATAGCCCGATGGCAGAGAGACATATAAAGACTTCAGTATGAATTTTCCCATCAATGTCAAT